CTAACCCTAACCCTAAACCCTAACCCTAACCCTAACCCTAACCCTAAACCCTAACCCTAACCCTAACCCTAACCCTAACCCTAACCCTAACCCTAAGCCCTAAACCCTAAAACCCTAAGCCTTTCTATAAGAGATAGAAGATTCTTCGTAGACGTTACCTAGTTTTCTAGCGGATTAATAGAGGAACTAAATTCTATAAGTTCTAGATATAAGTAGAGGAAGAAGATATAGTTTTTAAAATCACGCCTATCTATATACCTAAACTAAATAGCGTTATAGAGCGTATAGGTAGTTATATTAATTAGATTTAGCGTATAATAAATATAGACGCTAAGCTTTCTAAATAGCTTTAGCCTTACCGAGTAGATACTGTAATTTATATTTATAATTATTTAGTTAATCTAAAGACTACGAAGATACCGATTATCTCCTAGTAGGAGGGCCTTAGTCTTAATAAGATAAGGGTTAATTTAAAATATCTTCGTATATAGGGTACTATCGTATTTATCTATATTCTAAGGGAGATATATATTTAATTAGAGAAATTAACTACTTATATATTTAGAGGATATCTAGTTAGTTATAAAGGTAAGAATAGTTATATCTTTAAGGTATAGAATCCTACTTTAAAGGAGATTATTTGTTTATGGGACGTTACTTTTCCTAATAAACTTAATCTTAACTCTTCTTAATCGGATAACGATCTAAAGGGGGGTATTTTAGCTAGAAAGCCGGTATCTAAGGATCCTAATTTAGATAATAACGCCGGGGCACTTTATAAAGAGGGTAGTCTATATATTCTAGATTTTATAATTAAGAAAGGTAAATAACCTTACGAAGATCTAAAGGTTATAATTAGACTAAAGCTAGTTCTATAGGTTTCTATTACTAATAGATAGCTAGAGATAGCAATTTAGGTTTTAAGACCTATAATTTAATAGAAGTAAGCTTCTATAGGTCTAGATATATTAGGAAGAGTATAGACTATACTACCTATACTAAAACTGTTAACTAGAATATAAGAGATCGAAGATTAATCTTCTTTTTAATAACCGAATTTCTAAAAGTAAGTTAAACCGGCTTACCTTCTACCGCTAAAGAGGTAGGTTATTTAGTAACTAATTTATTAGTTAGTTCCTTAGTTAATACGTCGATATCTAGTTCTTTAACTATAAGTTTATAAGATAATTCGATATTATATAGTTAATTATATAGACGGTAGACTATTACTTCCGCTAGTCCTATTATAGCCTAGAAAATAGGTAGTAGTATTTCCGGTTTTAGAGGCTATTCTAGAGTCTCTAGTTATTTATTAGTCGATCGAGGAGAATAACGGTAAAGATAGTAAAGATAGTAAATATAATAGTTTTGTTTATTAAGGATAGTATATATAGCGAGCTACTCGTAATATAGAAGTTCCTATATAATAGGCTATTCCTACTTCTCCTTAGTATTTACCTAGAGTATTCCGAGAAGATACTCTATAGGAGGTTTCTCTATAGGAGATTTCTTTATAGGAGATTTTTCTATAGGAGGTTTCTCTATAGGAGGTTTCTATATAGAAGGTTTATAATCTTATTATTTTAGAGAAAGAGTAGGTAGTAGTTTAGCCTAGTTCTTATTAGGTTTCTAAGCCTATTTTTAAACTATATATAGAGACGGTTTCTAAGGTCGAATTATTACGGGAGGTCTTAGTTAAAATAATTACCGATAGTTCTATTACCGAGATAGCTTCTATTCTACTAGAATACTTTATTCCCCGATAGTCGAGCCGGACGAGATAATTACTAGAACGATACGGTTTTCCTATAGAACTTACTAAGACTATATCGATTCCGAAAACAAAACCGAAATAGACGAAATAACCGAAGCGAATTGTTATAAAGCCGGACGTTCTATAGGGTAATAATAATATTAATAAAGGATTAGGTAATAATAATAATTAAGGTAGGGGGAGACTTATAAAGTCGAGAGTTATTACGAAATAGAGTACTCCTTTTATTTATAACGGTAAGCCTTTATATATTAAGGATATTATTATTCCCTAGTCTTATAATAAGGCGATAAATTCTCGATTTTTAGACCGCTAGTAAGTAGCGATAGAAGATTAGTTTGACGACGTTTATATAAAAAGGACTTTTAATATCGTTTATAAACCGCCGGGGGTAGTGCCTCTACCGAGTTAATAGATTTTTAATCTTAAAGTAACGAAGGATAACCTTATTTATAGTTTTAAAGCGTGCTAGGTAGTTTATAGTAATTACTAGTAGAAAAAGAAGAATTTAATCTTCTATACTTTAGTTATTTAGAACGTTCTTATAAAGATTATCTTTATACTTATTACGTAGAGAGGTTATAAATAGCGTTAGTTTAATATAGTAGCTACGTATCTTAATACTTCTTATAAAGATTAGGAGATAGTTTATATTATTTAACTAGTAGGTTTTAAATACTCCGAACCTAATATCGGAAGTAAAGGTTAGGTTTATTAGTTATAGTAAGTATTATTTAGTCTTTATAATTCGGTAGCTCTATAGAATAAGGAACTTAATAGAAGACTAGTTAAGATTAGATTTTATACTCTTAATAATAATCTATATATCTATATTAAGATATATAATAGTTTAACGTAGTTTCTTTTTATTTATATTAATGATTTTATTAGTATAGCTCCGACTAACGGAGAGGTCGAGATGATTTTTTAGTAGGTAAAGGGTTAGTTCGAGATTAAGGATATAAGAGAACTATCCCGTTTTCTTAGTAATACCGTTATCCGGAATTATAATAAGAGAATAATTTAGATAATATAGTAGGTATACTATCTAAAGGCACTTTGCTTAGTAGAGATATAGGTATATTCTCCGATTTCGATTCCGCTTTCTCTAAACTATAAATAGGATAACGGTAATAAGGATCCCGACGCTCTTCTAGATTAAGAGGGGTATATTTTATTTAAGTCTTTAGTCGGTAGACTTAACTAGTTAGTAGTTAAAACTAGGCCTAATATTAAATTTAGTATTATAAAGTTATAATATTGTTCTACTTCTCCGACTATTAACGATTTATAGATAGTCCGTACTATCTATAGGTATCTTAATAATATAATATATCTTAGTATAACGCTAAGAGGGGTAGACGATACCTCGTTCTTTATATATACCGATACTTCGTATAGTAATTAGTATAATTTAAAATCGATAGAGGGTACTATTTAGTTTTTCGGTAGCGTACCTATTATTTAGTACTCGAAGAAATAGAGTATTATAACTCTATCGTCGATAGCTACGGAATAGTATACTCTAGATCGACCTACTAGGGATACTTAATAGATTTTAAAGATTACTAAGGCACTTAATCTTCCTAAGGTAGGCAATCTAATTGTTATTTTAATAGATAATATTAATACTTAGTTACTAATAAGTAAGAAATTATATAAGAACAGTATACGTTGGCTTAATATAAAGTGGTTTTTCGTTAAGGACGCTATTTTCTAGAAGAAGATCGATCTACAGCGCGTCGAGATAAAGAGTAACGTCGCCGACGGGTTTATAAAAGCGCTTAATAAAGAAGCATATATAAAGTTTATCTAGATACTAGGTCTTAATTGATCTATATATTAAAGTTTACGGGTAGATATAGATTTACATTATATAGGAAATAGTGAAAAATGAGAAAACAAAATGGAGAGTTTTTATTAGTGGAGACAAAGAGATATGGTGACAGTCTTCGTCCTAAAGGGGGGTATTGGAGTCACGTGACGGCCATGTGGGGCCGCAGGTGATCCTGACCCACAGAACTCAGGATATTGTTAGACAGTAGCTAGTTTTTTTCTTCTCTTCTTTTCTTTCTCTCCAGAGTCTACAATATTAATCCCTTGAGGTTAACATTCATTCCTACATAGCCTGTATTCCATCTGACAGTAGTCAAAGCGACAAAAGAGAAGTCGTCTACCTAGCGACGAAGCGACCCCTGAATCGAAGAAAAATCGGAAATCTGTCCACAAAGTCATTAACAATCAATCGAATCGTTAAATCATGGCCGATTACCTCTCCGCGGGTTTATCCTCTTGCGTTATACTAAAGGATACTGCAATATAGGATTTATAGCTTGCTAATATCGAGTCAATTGCCGTTTAATTTGACGTGTAGGAGCTATATAATCCTAGTTAAGAGAAGGAACTAGAACCTCTGTTAGTACCGGTAAAGGTTATCTCTATAACTGATATATAAGAGAAGTATAAAGAGAAATGGTTTAAATCGTTCAAAATGCTTTAATCGGAATGGTCAATCGATAATATACTATATATATCTAGTAAAAGAAGGGGTTAAATATAGTAAGTAGTAATAGCTATCCGAAATAGTATTTATCCGAACTACTAGCCTTTTATTATCCACTATAAAACGCTATACGCGTTACTTCGAAACCTTCGATAACGATTCGCTGCCGAATTGTATCCGTCGTCGTCTGTGAACTTTCGGGCTTAGCGCCCCTCATGCTCGTATGTGTTGCTCTTGTCGGCCGAGTGTAAGTACATTTATCACAGAGAGTTGCCACTGTAGCGGACATTCTGCTAATTCACTACACGCATAGGAACAAAACGGCCAATATATTCCCCGGAAAGGCTGCCATTTGTATCTCCCTACTCGCCTTACTGGGCCTGATTCTCGGTGTCGTTGGCACAGATAGGGCTCTAGAGGAAGCAGAATCTACGAACGACATCCACCTGAACAGTCTCACCAGGCCGCATTGGCCCTCTTCCTTACTGGTTTCGCTCTGATGCTAGTTGGTTACTTTGCGTTAGTCCAGGATGTACTACGCTATCCTGCCAAGAGAGCTGTGCTTGGAACCGAAGCCCGCATCCTAGTCATCGTGGGACTCGCTGCGCCATTTGTGTTTGTCCGTCTGCTTTACAGCGCCCTCGGTGACTTTACCGGAGCGGAACTATGGATCTCCATTAGTGGCAACGATACTATCTATCTTATCATGGATGGCCTTATGGAGATTATCGCCATCACTATCATGTACACCACCGTATATTTTGCGCCGCTGCCGAAAGCAGCACCCGCGGAGCGTATTGTGGACGCCGAGGGCGTCACTGCGATAGAGCGCGGGAGCGAGAACCAAACCGCCCTCAAGGAAGAGAACCGCAAGAGCAACGAAGCTTAAGTGGCTTAGGCTTTGGCTCGCGAGGGTATATATCTTATGTCAGCTTATAAGCCGATTATCTAGTTAACTAGTTAACTAGTTATCAAAGCGCGTTTATAATTGTGTTGGTATTTTTTGCGTTTTATTCTCATTTGGTGCATTTTGTTCAGAGACTTGAAGAATGTATTTTGAGGACAGAAGTAGTCATCGAATTGTGTGCATAGCGCCCTGATAGATTACTTCCCCCTTACTTTCGAACGTTCAATTCTCTCATGGTCATACATACATGTTTTGTAGAACTAACTAACTAACTAGTGTAGTGGGGGGGCCTTGCCTGCCACTACGCACTGGCCTTACCTGTTCTGTCATTTACCAAGCATGTTGTTATGTAATCTTAGGGAGCGGAGGATACAAGTAGTAGGAAGAGACAGATTGAATAGAACACACCTCTACAACTCTCCGAATCGACTCCTTGGGCACCGCGTCCAGGTTCCTTTGTATGCAAAGTTGGGTATGAGACTGAACTGCGAATGCTGAATCGACCCGTATGCCTTAGAGCATACTGCCTAGAGCGTTCCCCTCTTTACTAGTTAGTTAACTAACCCACATTCTGGGCACCCACCAGGGCTCCACCAGTGCCCCACATACCTTACGGCCCGCTAAGGCTTGCGGGGCTGGTTGCCCAAATGGGATGGTTTAAATGGCGATCATTGATACTACCACATTCTACTCCATGCGGTGCTGTAGTTATGGTTTGCTGCTGATGTTGCATGCGGTCTCGGTGTCTAAACAGGTTCGTGTTTCTCAATGCTAGACAGATATACCCAGATCGGGAGAAGCTTGTTCGTTTTACGATGTTTGAGGTATTTCTGGGAAGGTGAACACACATTCCCTGTTGGGGGCCGTGTTGGACCACTTTCAACAAGGCTCTCAGCCTGACTATCCTGAGCTCCGACTTACACCGATTTGGGAAGCATTGACGAAATAACGTAGGATGGATCCATGGATCTATATAACATATAAGGCTATGCACAAGAATCAATCATATCAACCCTCAGTTGCTTCACAATCAATCAGTCCTTTCAAAATCAAATGAGTCTCTCTCAGTTTCCAATAATTCACCTCAAATCAAATCAAAATGGCGGCTCCAGGAAATATCACTATTGATGATCTCACATGAGTGCAACCTTCCAGTCTGATCAAGAACCTCCGACACGAATGTATATGAGGCGGTGCAAGCGTCCACTCAGAAAAAAAGGTACATATATAAAATAAATAAATATAAAATAAAGTAAAAAGGATCCTACGGATGGTGTCCCATGCGGGGATATGTCCCTCAGCCACCCATGCACCCAACATTATTGTTAACAATGCCAATGATCTCGTTGATCGTCGAAAGTAGGTCTACGGAACGGGCCGAAAGGTATGTCCTATAAAGCCCAAAAAGGTCAAAATCCTTATTCGTCAGAACTTCAAAATGATGAATTCGATGAAAAATGGTGCTCGGAGTCGAACGAGCAAGGGCTTCATAACTTGTTAGTGAATATGAAGGCTACGCTGTCGAAGCTTGGGGCTATGTGACTTGCATTGCTGCCTGGTTTGTCAGGCTAGGGGTGTCTGCATGTTTGTCTCCTTCTCTCTCTCTCTGCGCTTCTTCTCTCTCTCTTCTCTCTCCTCCCCAGTTCTTCAGTTCTTTAGTTTCTATCAATACAACATTTCCACAACTCCCTGTTCTCGATCGGCTGACATGCGCAGGAAATGCGTTAACCCAGAAGGGAATGATATTGACTCTGGAGAGAAAAAGGAAGAGAGAGAATGCTAGCTACAATCTACATGGAAGTCCTCAACAAAGACGTATTGGGCGCTAAACCCAAAGAGGCAAAGCTAACCGGATACAGTAATTGACAGGTCCGCCGTTCAGTTGGCCCCTTTCGGCTGCCGCTCTCCACCATGACCTTGCTGTTCTGCGGGGTCTTGCCTCTACCACCCATCCACAGCGCTTCCAAGCACAACTCATAGACAGTTATTCCACTTTAGTTTCCAATGCTCCGAGAATTCTGTTGCTCTTTTTGAAATGTGTATCGATATGAGTCCCAGAAAAGCGGCCAGCCCGACGCCCGAGCCTGCCAAACCCGGCTCGACATGTTTCACAGCTAGCAGGCTCAATGGCACCACGTTCCAGATCGTCGAGGACGACAAGTTCCTCGAGATGCCTATAATATACGCCAAGGTGTACCGATCTGTCTTTGTGCTGATGGACACTGGGTGCGGTGGGGCGGCGCGTGATCCCAGCGTCGAGCTCAGGTCGCTGCGTAGTTTCCTCGAGACAGTTCCCGTGAAAGAGAATGGCGAAGCTCCTCTCAACTCTGGTAGAGAGAGAGAGTATCTTGTTATTTGCACACATTGCCACTTTGATCATATTAGTGAGTATCATGATATTAAAGTACTGGGCGGTTGGATTCTTCCAAAAATATTTATTCTTGTTAACACCGTAAGGTGGCATCGAGCAGTTTGTCGAGACGGACGGCAGTACCATCTGGGCCAGCGACTATGACAAAGACTATCTCAGCCCAACCCGACTACCAAGCACGTCCCTCTGTGACAAACTCAATATCAAAACACCGGAATACACAGTCACCAATTGGTGCAGCGACGGCCAGCAGGTAACTGACAGCATTGGGCATGATCTTGGCCTGACGGTGTACCATACACCCGGCCACACGCCCGACGAAGTTGCCATATGGGACTCACACGAGAGAATACTATTCGTCGGCGACTCTATATATCAACACGCGCCCATCTTTTTATTTGAGACACAGAGCGTCATCAGGTACAGCGAGTCGATCGGCAAAATGAGGCAGCTCATCAGACGATTCAATGCCGAGACAGGTAAGCTTGACCACTCACCTAAACCGTAACTACAAGAAACTGACGAGAGCAGAACAACGCGCAAAGATATCATGTAGTCACATCACCCCCAGCATAGACGCGGCCAACTTCCTGGCCGAGGTAGACGCATTCCTATATAAAGTCGTGACCGGGCAGGTTGAGCGTAAGGGCTCGTTGGACATGTCCGGGCATCCACGGGACAGCTACTCGAGAAAGGACGGGAGTCTTGAGTTTCAGGGGTGTAGAGAGTATTTTGAAGAGTTTACGGCGAGCAAGAAGGCTATGAATTCCATTCGGAAGCGCCAAATCGTGGAATAGACAAGCTGACGCCTGTTGCTTGTTGTGTACGTGAGTATACTTGTACTGATAGTCATATTGGGCTTAAGTCAATTCATAGGACCGACAGAAGGTCATCGGTTTTGATATGTTCATCTGACATTACCATTCCTTGTTCTCCATGGTCGCCGTTGCCCATCGGATAAGCACCATGCAGAAGGCCGATTGTATTTTATGTTGAGAAAACAACATTCCACTTTGTAACGGTAGAGCTTAACCCTATCCTAGTGTTGTATGAGGGCAATTTTCTGGAACGGGGGACTCACCAAGTGTTAATGAGGCTTGGGGGAGGTATTTTGAGCTGCAGAGCTTTGGAGAGGTTGAAGTAACTTTGGTGTATATATATATAGTATCAAAAGGAAAATCCAATTAACGCGGATAGTGTTCGATGAACTAAAAACATAGAATTAATACATTCAAAAAGCCATCCTAACTTTATGATGTATAGTACTTTTTTTTTACATTACAGTTGAGTTATTTTGGTACAGCATCGAGGGATTGTTGATTGTTTATGGGTGAATCACGCTATAGCTTAGGGTTTTATTACCTAAAAGTATGAATAAGGCATCTGAATAATGGATGACTAATCCAGTGTCACCTGACCTGACCTTGGCAGGCAGGTGGGGCCGACTCAAGATTGCTAAGTCAGCCGGAATAAACCCCGGGGCCTCCCGAGAGATCCGAAGGTCCAGCCTTCAGGAACTCAACTGCGGAGAGGCCTTCCAAGGTTGTATCATGGGTTACAAACACCTCTTAGGAGCTGCCTAGGTGGTCCAGGCATGCAAATTACATGAATCAGATTGCGATCCAATTGCATGAATACGGGTCAATGAGTTGTCACGGCAGCAAAAGCTCAGTCTTCAGCAAAGTTGTTCAAACTCAAAGCTACAGCAGATTGGCCCGGACTAATGGTACAGGCCGTGCACTAAGACTCAATTGTGTACTAAGAGATGGGATGGTCCGGCTTAATGAGAAATTAAAGAGGTGACGTTTCAGGCAGTTCAGAATAACGAGGCTGAAACACTGTCTCCCCGGATGGGGACCCCATTCCCGTTCGGAACTACTATAAACCAGACAAGGGGGTTGCTAGACTATCCACTTTCACCACCCTTGGCATAAGGTTGACACTCCTGATTTCTCAGTTTGAATTGGGCTCCAAGAAGTTCCCCGAAGAAATGGGGTATTAAAGAGCGCCAATCCGTCATCAAACATGGCAGACAGACAGTAACACCGAACACCCCAACATGCGTGGGACTTTCATTCTTTCTTTGCTTTCTGCGGCGCTGGGCGCCAGCGCTGCTATTTCTCAGTCTAACCTCAAGACTCATGTCGATGTGCTGGCACTCGACTACTCCTTTAACCCAGTCAAGGCGGCATACTGGACTGGATATCCCCACCACCGTCGTACTCCCTTTTCGGTGTCGCCCAATGGGAAATCATTGTATATTGCCTATCTTGACTCCAGTGCCACGGATGTTCATGTGCAGCAGCTGGATCCTACCACCTTCGCTGCTACTGGTACAACTGTGACCGTCTCTGGCGGAAAAGAAGGTGTGTTGCCCGATTGCCCATAGGCAATGAAAAAGAGGGACCACTAATTCATGGTATAGCTGGAGGTCTTGTGGCTCACAATGATGGGTTTGCCCTTCTGACGAGCGAGGCCATGCCCTCTGGCACCACCAATGCACCACCGAACGATACCCCTGTTCCCGTGCTCTACCGCTACACTTTAGGGAAACAGACATGGAAGACCTGGCTGGGTGGACCTGGCGTCCACGAGTCCGAAGGACTTTCTGCCTCTCCCGACATGAACGGCGACCTGGTATACTCCGAGAGTGCGGAGCTCTACGGCGCATACTTTGTCGTGACTGATTACTCCGGTGACGCATCGGGCCATTTCGGTGATAGCGTGGAGTACGTCTCGGCAAGCGGGAAATTGGAAATCATCTCTGGAGCTAGCAGTGCATGGGGTTGCAGCCACAACACCGGCATTGCATTCGAAGCAGCCGACGACGCCCCCTTCGCCGGTATTTGCGCCGAAGATCAGGGCGCGATCTGGTTGAACACCAAGACACAAGGGATGTCCACCGACGGAGTCAAAATTTCCAACGAGAACACTACAAATGGCGCGTCTGGTGAGCCTATGGGTGGTATGTCTGGTAGCTACAGTGCGTTGGCTCGGTTTGCCGATACCACTAAGTATATCTTCGCCTGGGTTTCCCGTGGCGCGATTCATGTGACAGAGAACGCCTGGATGGGAACTGGCTACACAAACGTGCAGAACCGCACGAACGGTCGCAATGTTGCTATTTCGATTTTCTCTGATAAGTATACCAAGGTTGGCACCCAGGCCACGTCTGAGGTCGGCACCGACGATGGAGATAGCCAGGTCAACTGGGTGACATCTGGATCGAACGATTGCTCAAATGCTCACGCTGCCACCTTTGGAAATAGCAATGCCCTCGTTACCTGGGAGGAGATCTCGAACCCGACTTGTGACTTCATTGCCATGGGATGCCGTGGTATCTTTGCTGGAACTTACTTCCAGCAGGTTGACTCCACCGGCTCCAAGGTTGGTGAAGCCTTCAGCGCTGACGATGTTTACGTTGCCGGTGATATGGTGACTATGTCAAATGGTAGAATCTGCTGGCCCTATGTTGACATGACTTGGGATCTCTCGCAGTCCATTGATGACTCGTCCTCTGCGAGTGGCAAAAAGATGAGCATTGCTTGCGTAAGCCTCGATGGTACAACGGATTCCTCACCAATCACGGCTGCTAGTAGCCAGACTACTGAAGCCGCGTCAAGTGCAACTACAATCGAACATACAAGTCAGACTACCGAACCCGCAGCCGAGGATATAAGTGGAAGCGTCGCCGCCATCAGAGGCGGATCTGGGAACACATCGAGAAGTTCTGTGATCGAAATCGCAACGTCTGTTACTAGCTCCGCGGCCAGTGGCATTGTGGATGTTACCGCAGGTGGACCAGACAGTGAACTTCTGGCTGCCAGTACTATTTATACTACCATCCCGAGCGGCACTCCTACCGGAATCGCCAGGGGTCATGGGCGGAAACATGGCCACGGCTGGGGATACCATGACACGGAACGCCATAGTTCAGAACACCACAGTTCAACATATGATAATGTCCCTGAGAGCGAGCCCGAGATCGGTGGGGCTTGCAAGACCTAGTAGATTCTATGGTTTCCCACGAGAATTTCACGTCTTAGATCTTAGTCGAAAATATCTTGACCTAATGCATTGACTGGCCTATGGCATTACTTAAGAACCGATACGCACCGGCCACCGCTAGCGCTAGACGGGGTGACTTCTTTATCGTTTCGAAAGGTGATGAACACTCACTTGCGGTCCAGCTGGCTTTCTGGTGTGTTTCTGGTCAGGACCAGTTGGAGGTCCAGGTTGTCGTCTCTACTGCTCTGGTGGATAAGCCGTCGGCGAGATGGCTTGCAGGGAAGCTTGCTGCTGCTGTGGGGGCGCTATCAGAGGCTCCTAGAATACTGTTAGACGATGTTTGTGTTGGGCAAAGGGAATATGTGATAGTTGGATTTTGGTCTTCCTATCATATAGGCTCATTTAATTAGTTGAATGTCATTTCTTAGAATTATTTGGATTTTCCCAGGGTTATAAACTCTTTTATTATTTTCCCTACAACGACATCATCTTTGTAGGCTACATATTACAACCTGCCCCTGGGCTGGCGAGTTACAAACTAGGCCAAAATACCATTATATCTGAGCATTACGCTCAGATAGACCAGGCTCCGATATATATAGTGCATGACATGACACTACATCTCAGTTGAATAGACAATGGCATACCTTTGCCCTTATTTCCCTAACTCTCCATTTATCCAAAGTTTCCCCAAGCTCCTACCTGACGGTCTTACATAGATCTGATTCCCGATAGTGAAACATTGGAGAATGTTTCACCCCCAATCTGCTTTTCGGGAAATGTCTCACCATCTTCCCTACCCAAATCGATCAGCTTATATTAGCCATGTAGGCCGCAAAACTGTATGTTGTCTATAGAGTGTGCAATATATAACCAACTAATCCCAAGATTGATAGGACGTGAATACACCCTACGGTTAACAGGACCATATCTGGGAGTCTAGGACAGGAAAATGAGATCTAGGTAGCAGCAGTACAGTAGAGACGGTAGATTGGAATCAGCTATTAAATCGAGCATTCGAAGTGTTAGCCTCACAAATAATATTATCCAAGTCAACATTCGAATACGAAGAGTGGGCTGCCCGACCCCGCCACGGGCGCACTATTTTTACACATTTGCGTGTTCATTCTTGTTTTTTTTTAGAGATAAAATATAAAAAACTAAAAAATAGGGCGTCCAATGATCCTATTTATCAGACGGTTGCAAGGTTACATGCGGAGAGTTACCTAGGTAACGTTATGAGCTGAGCCCTTTGTCTCTCTTTCGAGCTATCAGAAACATTGAATCGCCCCACTAAGACTGGGCACACGTATGTGGGAAACAGAATGGTTTTCGAAATTTGATTGTTCTACGGAAGTACGTGGGACGACTTCCAGCTGTAGTGAGACCTGCTGTGGTATAAAACCTAAGTTTGGCCCTGGACTCGGGTTCTTGAGATCACAACAGCACTTCTTAGTCTTCTTAGTACTTACAGTATTCACAACCCCTGACAGCTTCTTTCGCTCTTGCTCAAATACTGTCAAAATGGATTTTATCCGAGTTATTACTCTGTTTTCTTTCTTATTCTCTGTTGTCGTGGCATTCCCCCAGCAGACTGCCGCGGGTACAACAACCGCAATTCCGGCGACGATTACCAAGGCTGCGTCGCTAAGCTGCTCGGACGGCCAGACCGCTGTCTATACGACAGATTGTACGATGGGAACTCCTACATCGTACTGCGCTAGACCGGAGCCCCCATCCAGTGCTCGGAGGGGTACTTCCCCTCGGTTTGGCACCCAGGTCATTGCATGGAGCAGTCGACCTGTTTCCCTGTTGATGCGTCCTGGATCACGACTGAGTGCTCACATGGGGCAATTCCTTGGACAACCTCGACTTTGTATGAAGGCACCTTAGCGGGGGGACAGTCGACTATTATCAGTGGTAAGTCCCTTCCGGTTCATTTTCCTTGTTCGATTTTCCCAGTACATAGACAATGAAGCTGATATGTCTGATGTTTCTAAAGCCGTTTCCTGCTCCTGTACCAGGGACCAATGGTATAGCATGACCATTCTCCCAGGCGCATCCACCGTCGACACGTTCTGCATGCCTTCAAGCTCCTGTCCAGCGGGCATGACAACCTCAGTCTCGACCAACACTTACTGCGCAACGGCGCCGGCAAGTGTGTGTTCAGATATTCCCTTGGAGACCAACTACTGCAAGTGTGAGTCGGCAGCGCAGACACCAGTATATCCTGACTCTGTTGGGGCGGCTCCAACCGGATGTAGATCTTGATCGAACATAGAATGGTTCTTTACCTAAAGCGCCATTGGTTACGGCTAGTTGGCTACTTGCATAATCTTGACCGCCAGAACGGGAGACAAATCCTGCCTCCGAAATTAAATGTATATATCGATTGAAGAATCTCTTAATAAAACCAGCGGAAGTCATCGCAGGCAGGCCCATCCTTGAGATATTCTGTAGGGATATCCCTTGCCTTAATGTGAACACCTTGCAATCGGTCCCTTTTCTTATTATCCGCCATCATCCAAAGCCCAAGACAGAGTGTTAAGACAATACCAACCCCTCCAAATGAGGCCGTGGTAATTAAGGCAGGAAGATATTTGGGTGCATCTTGCTTTCGAAAGATGTTCGAACTGACAACCCCCATCAAGTTCGCCAATGGGACTGCAATACTCGTCAATACCACACGACGCCCTTCGTTAGCAGTGTTGTTGTTATACCAAGTGTCGAGAAGAACGGAAGGCGCAGAGGTTCCCCTATTTAAACTGGTCAGCATCTATCTCGTGAATAAAGGGGGGCGAACCAACCAAGTCATCAGAAATGAAGCAAAATAAGCTACATTTATATCATGCTCAACATCGATAGTCGCATAGATCACGAACCCCACGAAGGTGAACAAAAAGCCGAGTGCAATGAATGGGAATCTCCATCTCGTCCAGTCACTACTGAATGCCAGGATGAGGAGAACTACAGCGCCTGAGATGTTGGGAGCCACGGTGAATAGGTTGGTTTTCACCGTACTATATCCAAGGCGCTGGATTATCACTGGAAGGAATAGCTGAACAGCTTGCAGGGGAACACCCAGGCAAACTTGAATCCCCAAGATAACCCAACTAGTTCCGTGTTTAAACACTTTGAACGCATCGCGGATGTCGAGCTTTTCATTGACCACAGAAGAACTGTCAATTTGCAAACGAAGGTATGCGAGTTCTTTCTCTTCGGGTGTCAGAAAGGTTGCCTCTGAGGCCGACCGGGGTAGATACCACAGTGCGAAGATTGCGAAGAAAATAGTCCCAGCACCTTCGATCAAAAAGAGATACCTCCAAGGCGCCAATGGTCCCGTGTGGATACGGAAAATTCCAAATGCCAGCAATCCAGAGAAGGCAGAGGCGATGGTTTGAGCCGCGTAGAAAATAGCGAGTCGGCGAGCCAACTCACCCCGACGATAGAACCTAGGTTTGAATTAAAGATGATGCAATTCCAAAAGTTTGAAAGGATGGGCTTACGTCGTTTGGTAATAGATCACCAGCGGAAAAAACGCGCTCTCTGCCATACCCAGAAACCACCTAATAGCGAAGAGACCGCTAAAGTTGTAAACTGCGACCACAAGAATCGTGCAAACACCAAAGGCAAGCATCATGCAGGGTAGCACAATATTTGGTCCATATTTCTTTCCCAAAAGACCGAGAAAAGGTGCAGTCAAAACGTAAGGGACAAAAAAGATGCTAAGAAGAAGATTATATTGATTCCCCTTCAGGGAGAGTGTTTCTGTGATTGTCATTCATATCAATGCGGTATTCCTCAGTCATCAATCCTAGTGACGGCGTACCTTCAAGTCCAGCTGTCTTCGCATTTCCTAAATTGGATTTGTCCAGGCTGTTGAAGAGATACATGATGGCCAATACAGGAAGAAGCCGAAGATCAAACTTCCATACTAATGCTCGCTCTGCTCGAGGATCAATGTCGACACTCGCGATAGTGACTGGTACATCTTGTTTTGAAGGGAGGTGACTTGATTCGAAGTCGGTAGGCATGGTTACGGGCATAAATGATGGTAATGATTCCAATATAACGATATCTAGTCTATTTAAGAGATATGTCCCGGGGGGTGTGTTGTATATACCATATGCCACTACCTCCATAGTTCTATATCGATAAGCATGACACAAAAGATAACAAATCCAAGCTTTAAACAACATGGCTGTCTTGGCAGTTTTCTTGGCTGATAAGCAACGGGGACGACGCATTCCCTATCTCTTGATGACAAACGGAAAACGCGTATAATTGGAATGGAATATCTATGGATGTACGGAGTACAGTTGACATGAAAAGACTGGGTTACCCAAGCATAGGTAGGATTCGTAGGAACATTATTGGAGGAAACATGAAATGCCGATCTCTTCGCAAGTTGCTATCCTGCTTAGTACGGAGTACTTGCGACCGGGTCACAATCTTTAAAAGTGATTTTATTCGAGGTTGTGACACATCGTGACATCGTTATCAGAATGAAGATCATATTCCATTAATGGTGTTGATACATGGTCATATTTGTACCCTTCCATAACTAGTTACATAAGTATTAGTCTAGTACTCTCCCTTTCCTCCATAACAATACAACACATTGTGGCTTCATCTACTTTCCAGGACGGAGAGGGAAGGGAGGAAAAGAGGGAGAGGGAGAAGCCAGTTACCTAGTTAGGTAACTATCTAACGTATTTCACTACCGAGCTGGCCACCCCGGAACACCATAGTGAAATGCTGTTTTTGATAAGCTTATATCGTAACAACCATAACCTCAATTTGAATAATTAATTATGTGTAAATATTGATAAGCATTTCTTACTATCTCTAGAAGTTTCAATCGAAACAAAAAGTCGGATAATGATAATACCATAAATTACGCTATAATTTAATTATTTTCGCTGTAGATATATATGTCTTGAATACCCCATTATAAAAATTTCCTTAAACCTGTCGAATAGCTATACCATACACCTTGAACATAGCCCTTTAATATGAAATACATATAATCACCTATTGTTGGGATATAGCACTGTAATTTATCGCCTTAACTATGGTGTTCCGGGTGGCCAGCTCGGTAGTGAAATACGTTAGTTACTAGTTACATGTCTCATGTGGGGTTAGTTGCCTCAGACAGGGTCAGGCACCCAACAATAGTCAACCCCCATCTCCCCGCCCATTATACATTGAGAGGGGCCGGTTTATGTGAGGTAACTAGAACATTGTTATTTTAATATTGTACGGAATTACACTTCTTTTTTATTCTATTTTTTTTTTTTTTTTCGAATTCCCTGGCGAGACTCCAAATCCCATCTTAAGGCGGCTTCCCCCTCTTGCGGAATGTTGCCGGGAATAGGGGGAATAGGGGGAACTGATGGGCTATCTGGTAAATGGCATTGCAGTAATCACTATAACTGCACTGTGAATCTTTGATTGAACAGCACTAGAAGGAATGAGCGAATAGGCCCCATCCCCCGGTTTCTAGGGACCGAGGCAGAGTCTGGGGTATGAGGGGTTTCATGTGGATTTCCGGTGATCATCTTCTTTATATGGGCTAGTTTGACTAGATTTATCACTTCCACCATCAATGCGCTTTTTGTCTTTTAGGATGTTTGTAAACACCACATCATGCTCCGCAGTTTAAACTCTTCCGTCAATCTCAACTTCGATTCATCTATTACAGGTCACCCCCAAGAAACATGGCTGCCGATGGCCCCAACCCCGGCTTCTTGGGCAACCTCAACAAGGATCAGGAAGTCAAGTTACAAAGTCTTTGGTCAGTCCTACTCAAGGCAGGGCAAATATCCCCACCAAAAGAACCTATCAATGGCTCCGTCGAGGAGCCTTGGAGTCCAACCCAACCCCACAGACGGTTGTCGCTTCTTGGCCGTACACAGAGCAACGTCTCCGAAAACCCCATGCCAACCCTGAATGAATCTTATCACCAAAACATCATGAAATACCTAGGAGAAATAGGGGCTGGTGTGGCTGAATCCAACGCAATCAAGAAGGCCCTCTCGGAGATCACACCCACCGAGCTTCGTACGGGGTTACTTAACACTCTCAAACACGACCACCCCGATGCCGTGCTTTTACGCTTCCTCCGCGCTCGCAAATGGGATGTTCCCAAGTCATTTGCAATGATGATGGAAGCAGTCGTTTGGCGATTAAAGGAAATGCATGTAGACGAAGATGTGATGGCAAAGGGGGAGTTACATGCCCTTAAGCAGACGCAAAACAAATCCAGCATAAGTGAACGGAAGGCCGGAAATGACTTCATGTCTCAAATGCGCATGGGAAAGAGTTATGTGCATGGTATTGATAGGGCTTGTCGCCCAATCGTGGTGGTGAGAGTCCGCTTACACAAGCCTGGGGCTCAAAGTGAAGAATCTTTGGAGAGACATATTGTCCATCTGATTGAATCGGTCCGGCTTACAATGGCTCCTCCGGTTGAGACTGCAGTATGTATGTTGTTTTTGACAGCGAGGTGAAACGGGTGTCACTGACTCTAGGTTAGGCTGTGTTATTTGATATGACCGGCTTTGGACTGTCCAATATGGTGAGTCACTGTTTTCAGGTCCACGCAGTATTGTCGTCGTTCTTTCACCTTTACATAGCTAACACTTTTCTTTGGAGGCAGGAATATCCACCTGTCAAATTTATTCTCAGATGTTTCGAAGTTAACTATCCAGAATGTTTGGGAGTTATGCTTATTCATAATGCCCCGCGGGCTTTCTCAGGTCAGTGATTCATTTTGATCAAGGCCAAAGATACCATATCGGGCCTATCTCTCTTCTTGGTCTATTGGAACTCACCATTTCCATATTCTAGGGATTTGGCGACTCATTCGAGGCTTGATGGATCCCGAAATTGCAGCCAAGGTTGAGTTCACAAATAGTGTTGCCGACCTCGAGAGGTTCATCCCCCGTGATCAGATCGTGGAAGAGATGGGCGGCGACGAGAAATGGTCATATAGATACATTGAGCCCAGTCCTACAGAAAACTCCAAGATGGATAATACTACGATACGGGATGCACTGAAACGGGAGCGACAAGCTATTGGCGAAGAGTTCTTGGGTGCTACATCTGGGTGGATCAATGCGACTAAATCAGGGGACGCGACGACGCTCCATTCCAGCGAAAGCGAAAGGGCTTATCTAGCCGAGCGACTCCGCGTCAACTACTGGAAACTTGATCCCTATGCTCGAGCCCGTCTTCTCCTGGACCGAACAAACGTTATTCAAGATGGTGGCAAGATTGAATTTTATCCTCAGGCAGCTCCTATGGACGGTGATGTTGAAATAACCAAGGGATTGGACGTGAAACATTTAGAGCGGGTTGGGGATGCTGCTCACGTCATTCTATCGTAGATATATATATAAATTCTAGGGGTAATACGTTTACAATTGAGATTTCCACAAGTAAAGTCGGCCATTTATGCAGCCTTGTCATGTCCTTTTCCTAGACTTCAGTTTACATGCCTTTTCTAGATATATTCTCCCCTCTTCGGGCTTCTAGATGACTAGTCCATATATAGGGAAATTGTCTACTCGACGGCTCCTTCATAGACTCAGAACAGACTCAGCTCGTCCATATCGGACACAAGGTCCTGGGTACATGCAGGACCAAATCATCAGTCTAGGGGGTGAATCTTTAGTTATAGGGTAGAGAGTCACTGTACCTAGGCTAGCGGAACCAGTGTTTTAAGGGATCTGTAAGAGTAATTCATATGTATTTCTATTCTTCTGTCAGGCCAAAACAAGGCATTCAGGCATTAAATCCAGACTCTCGGCATTGAGAGTCAACTATACACCGTCGTACTCCCACTCCACCACTCTACTTATATCTCCTCAGTCACTCTTCATCATCTTCTCTCCTCAAACTCTCCCGCCTCGTGCTTGTATTCATCTTCCATCAATAGGCTGGTTTCCCCGCGCCAAATTCGGTCCGGGCTCAACAGTCCTCTTTGAAAAGCCAACAATCAGCGCATGGTCAATCCGAGAGAAACAGTCCCAGAACAACCACCAGCAAGAGGAATGGGATCAGGATCTCGAGTCTGGTCCATCAACAGCCGAGGTAACATTCCACGTTCAGCAGGACAATGGTCCAACGGCATACATGCGAGTATACATGCAGGTTCCACATCCATCTACCGAATTTGAACCTCGTGAAGTTCGACGTCGCCAAGCCGCTCCCTGTCCACATCTTGAAGTCAACGCCCTAAAGTGCCTCCACCAGGAACATGCCACTATGGCACCTGCCCTCCTCGGGATTAAGGAGGAACTCCAAGGCGATGATGACGTCGTTCCAGGTGGTCACATAGTCTACATGGTGTTCGAGCACGTACCTGGAATTCGACTTGCCGATGATCAAGGAGCACCTGTCCCTGGGTATCCATTACATACGTTCTTTCGAGAGTTCGAGCGTGCGGAACGAGATAAGATTCGCGATGAGTTCGACAAAGATTACCCTACGCTGACGAAGTTTGATTGGTCAATCTACGAAACCTGGGCCGACCGTCTTGTGTGGGATCCTGTCTCTTCGAAGCTGTATGGCTGTATGTCCCTTCAATGCTGACACAGAGCTACTTGCTAACTATGTGGATAGGTGGTTCGTCGATTTCAGAAAGGTGATGGATGCGGGCTGGCTGAAGAGAATCCGCTCGCTTCGCCACGAACAAAATCCCCGTACAGAGGCGGACCGGGGCCCCATGCAGCTTATCTGGGAACTCTGGGGTCTTGCCATTCCCCCTTCCAACCCAAAGGATCTAGACGAACTTACGGCATGGAAACTGTGATTTCCCTCCGGTGTAGCAATCACTTGGCTAGAAAACTTGCTGTTACAGTGGGGAGGATTGATTTCGGTAGCTGGCTAGTTGAGAATTCATTATCTGATCAATTTCATCATCAGTGTCGAGATTTAGCCTTCGCCTTATTGGTCTTGCCGAGCCAAGCCGAGCCAAGCCTTTCTAGATTTATTCACATTGCCAAAAAACCGATTCAACTGACATTGCTTGGTCTCTCCTTGTTCCTAATGAGGGGTTCTGGTCATACTCCTTTAGGTATAGACTGAGCGTGGACTAAGTGCTCAATAGGTGTCTCCGATCAGTCTAAGTAATCAGTGAGCATTCACTGGGTGTGAGCCCGGACTGAGGTTTACTAAGTGAGGCCTGGCTCTCAGCGCCCTCGTGAAAGCGGCGGCAGCTAAGAAGGAAAGCCCCACTCGGCAGAGGAAATATATTACGTACAGTGACATTTATAGCAAGGATGGGAATGATATCAGTTTCGATACAAAGATGCTAAAATTCACCGTCGGCGTAGAAACAATAGAACGGGGCACTAGCACATTGTGAGACCCAGCCTGTCCCGTGCAAGAGATCGCATTGAGTCTATAGTTATACCATTACAGGACCGATCAGGGTCCCACTGGGGTCTAGTAATGAGGAGTAGACCTCCGCAAAGCCCATAAATAAGCCCGGGCCCGCTCGCCAAGCGAAGGGGCCAGATTGGCTGGAAAAATATAGTTAGAAAGTGGTCCGTATGCGACTTTACATCACCAGCGATGAAAACATACCACGAGCAGCGGCTTTGCGCTTTTCTTTGGCTAATTGACTGTTAGCTTGTTGCATAATGTCATGATAGATAGTCTTCTGACATACCTTTCACGGCCTTTCCAGTCCGTTTTCCCCGATACGGCTTCTGCTAAGCTTTGATTAACATGGTTCTTCTCCCATCGTATGAGTCTCGTCTCACAAACCTGGCCCTTGGGCTTTGGAGGGGGCGAACCGCCGCGGTCATCATGGCTCCTAGCGCCGCGACCCATTCACAGGTTGGGCTAGTGTGGTCCCATTCCTGGCAGAATGCGCAAAACAACTAGAGGTTCCAGAGAGATCAGTATATGTCGCAATTTACCATAGGCATCATGGTCATATTTTGAATATTGCTGCATTGCGTAGGCTAATGCGAGAGTGAGGAATGGAACACGTACACGAGGACCGCTAGTTTTGGCCTTTGTGGCTCAGAGTTGACGAGTTGAGGGGGAAGGTGAGGTGATGTTCGGGAGAAATTCACTTCAGTCCAACAATGTGAATGGGGAACCAGTAGGCTGTTGATCCCGGGGGAAGGTAGGGTGACAATTTCCCCCGGCGTGGTAGACCTTTCCTCCTTTTCGATTTTCCCTCTTTCTAATTACTTCATTGACGATAAAGGAGAGTACCACCGGCACGTAACTCTGTCATTGGTTCATATTGCCAGCAGTAATTTAGATCCACTAATGTTATAGATGCTTAAAGATGTCTGAATACCTACAATATAAAATTGATCCCTTCTAAGATGGGTATAGGGACTTCTAAAGTGAACTGAATCTGAACTGAATCTGAACTGAATCTGAACTGAATCTGAACTGAATCTGAACTGAATCTGAACTGAATCTGAACTGAATCTGAACTGAATCTGAACTGAATCTGAACTGAATCTGAACTGAATCTGAACTGAATCTGAACTGAATCTGAACTGAATCTGAACTGAATCTGAACTGAATCTGAACTGAATCTGAACTGAATCTGAACTGAATCTGAACTGAATCTGAACTGACTGAACTGACCTGAACTGACTGAACTGACTGAACTGACTGAACTGACTGAAATAATCGGCGAGTACCGTAATGACCAGTGACCGGCAACAAGCTCTTCCTTGAGAAAGACAAAGACATGCTGGTTGTACGTCGAATGGTTGTACGTCGAATAGAACCCGTATCGTGGCCCCAGGGCTTGCATGTATCTTGCTAATTAGCCAATCTGTCTCCTGAACAGCTGCTCCGTTTTATAGTTTCGCAACGGGTCGTCATTTAGGTTGTGTTGGTCGACCCATTGGATCTTCAACTCACCACAACTTTAACTTTATGTGCCTGATTCATGATAACCACGTCCGGGATACGTCTGTAGGTGCTGTTGGTGCTTCTGATATCACCAAAACGAAGATTCAGGCTTTGGGACCCAAACACTGCGCTCATAATGTGGCTCACATTCTGGTTGAATCGGCCTTGTAATCCGGTCTCGTCGCCGATAACCAGCTGTTCGTTGGCTATGTTATGTGGCCCGAGTTGTCCCACCGGCCGGATGGTGATGGTGCTGTTATGCCTTTCCCAAGCATGCTGTTGAAATTCGGCGTTAGCATTTTGCTCAAATGTGGTCCACTCGTGCAATGGCCTTTCGTACCAAACCGAATGCAAAGCAGACGATGTGGTGTTACCGGCACATAACTCTGATTGGTTATTACCTCACCACCCTTTTTTATCACCGCCTTTTTGAACCATATACGCTAATCTCAATTTGTCTACTCCGTAGTAGTGTATTGTATTGAACATGTAGAACACTAATGGCACAGCAAAAAGTCTAATGGCACAGTTCACTAAACCCCTTTAGTCCTAGCCTTCTTGGCACCCATCTTTCGGTCTAGGTGTTATTTATTATGGTATCACCACAGTAAAAAAAACAGCCCCTGAATCACCCCAGCCACGATCAGCTCCATGATCGGCCCCATAATAATGCCGCCGTTAGATCATGTGATCATGATTGCTATTTGCTAGTTTATTTGCATTGTTTGCATTGTTTGCCAGTAAATAAGACCATGTTCAGATGGTTTTAATAGGCTATATATACCCAGGTTTTCCTAGATTTTGATCCTTCTTCTGCATTTTCCCCACTCTATATGCTTCATTTTTTGCTATATTTTATGCAAAAAATAGTGAAGAAATGAAGGTTTTAATGTAGGAGATTGAAATTAATGGACGATAATTAGCATGCAGAGATTTCATTGTGGGTGCCAAGGCTTGATTAACCCTATCATGTGATTTAATGGTAGACAATTATGATCACGTGATCTAAATTATTATGGGTGGTTATAATCACGTGACTTAATGGCAGACAGCTATGATCATGTGATCTAAATTATTATGGATAATCATGATCACGTGATCTCATGGTAGACAGTCATGATCACGTGATCTAATGGTGGCATCATTATGGGGCTGATCATGGAGGAGATCAAGGAGGAGATCGTGGAGCACTATGTGGCTGGGGTGGTTCAGGGGCTGTTTTTTTTACTGTGGTGATACCATAATAAATAACACCTAGACCGAAAGATGGGTGCCAAGAAAGCTAGGACCAAAAGGGATTAGTGGACTGTGCCATTAGACTTTTTGCTGTGCCATTAGTGTTCTACTTGAACATATATAGCTATGATCTTGAACATTTGAATTCTTCCTTCTTCAACTACTCTCTCTACAATTCAGATTCAATTCAGATTCAGTTCAGATTCAGTTCGGATTCAGTTCGGATTCAGTTCGGATTCAGTTCGGATTCAGTTCAGACCATCAGAGCTCACTGTGAGACAATGCTTCTTCTTCATTGGAAAGGCAACTGGTCGGTCAGGTCAGTGTATTAACCAAACCTCGCCTACTGACTGGGTCCACGTTCAGCACCCTTAGGATAGGATACATTCGATGGGCCTAAGGATCGGGCCCAACCCATTTGCTGGTTGAGGTCTAAAATTGAGGAGTACGTACATGGGGAATCTCGGAAGAACTTACATTCCGAAGAGGGAACACACGTGACCTTATGCGGCTGCCAGCCCAAACCTTAGTCATGTAACTCCGAGTTCCGAGGACCGAGCCCCGACAACTATGTTGTACATCCATGGATAACTACATGTAGGTCACTTACTTCCAAATTTGCCCAAGTTTGCATTTTGACTGCCATCCCCTAATCACATCAGGCGCTTGTACGATGGCGACCCCCCGCCGAAACGGTCAATTATCATCCTGCGAGCCATGTCGTACCTCCAAGTTGCGATGCGATCATGCAAGTCCCATTTGTGGACGATGCGAGCGCCGCGGTCTTCATTGTACCTATCACCCGGCACCATTGACCCAGTCCCTCACTGGAATACGCCCCAAAAAGAAGCGCCGTGTTGTTTGCGAATCAGATCACCCTAGTAACGTCAGTCGACTACACAATGAGAACGATGTATGGACTCGAAAAAAAGCATCAGTCTCGACCCCTGGATTTTTGGGGCAAACTAGCTACTTCGATGCGTTCACAGATACGAGAACTGGACTCCTTGTAGGAAATCCATACGTCACAGGCCATGATAACTTTCCCGTTGACCAAAAGCGGATCAATCTCGGTGCTCGGGTCTTGGCGCTTCTAGAGAACCTCCCATTTTATAGGGAAGTGGTCATTGCCCGATTCAAGATATGGACAGGATGGAGTCTTGGCTGGCCAATCACGAACATGGTTTTTACTCTCGTCGAAAAGATGTGGAACTCCCTAGAATTGGAGGACATGGACACAAACCAACGAGCTTTCTTCTTGTCAAAAGGACTGTTTGAAACGCATACCCGGGCACTTGAGGTGCATCCTTCAATGACTTGGGAGGACTTCCAGTCCGCTGCTGCCGGGAGATGGGAGTTGATTGGGCTACTATTTACTCTTACAGGCCTAGCCACGGACTGGGTCCCTCACAGTGACCGCATCTTCATGCGGCCAAATACTATGGATCCGAAGAGTCTCGCCATAACTGCTACCGCTGTGGGAGACATATGTCTTCAGTTCTGCGATAGCACTGGAATTGCAAATGATATTGTGGCCTGGCTTCTACTGCATCATACCACGCTTTTGGCAGTCGTCTATGGTGAAAGTGGTCTGTTATTCCGTTCTTTGCCTGTCAACATTGCCTAACGTGTTCTTAGACTTTCGACCGTGGCGAAAGTTGGGAGAGTTATCGACAACGGTGTTTGCGCTCGGGCTTCATCAGGATTCTAGCGGAAAGGCTCCATTTTTTCTATCTGAGATGCGAAAAAGAACTATGGTCACGGCTTATTCAATTGACAAAGTGCTTGCCACTTTTTTGGGTCGCCCGCCGCTCATAAGCTGGCGCTACTGTGATATCCAAATGCCACTTGACCTGAGTGTTGAGGAAATATTCGCAGATCCAGTTGTTCGTGATGCGGCAATCGCTCGACTGGATGAGAAGGATGGATGGAATATGGAGTCAAGCTTGGCGAAGGGTACGTGGCCTCGAATTGCCTTGATCACTAGCGTTCTCCGTGAGAAGATCTTGGAACTTTCACTGAGTTGGCAACTCGAGAATCTCAGTCAGAGGGTTGAGTACGCTGACAGTTCAATTTCCCGCCACATCTAGGACATAGCTGACATTTGCAGGGAGCTTTCATGCGAATCCCGTCAACTAAGACAGGGATTACCAGAATACCTCCGTTGGAAACCTGATATTGACGTGGCAGTTGTTTCCAGAGTAGAATATAATATCCTTTTCGATATCCATATAGAGTTTCTCTACAACGATTTCCTGCTCTACCGGACCCTAGGGAAACGTACCCAGACTCAGCCTGAGGCAATCATTGACATCGCTCGAGAGATACTCAAAGCATTGGTCATTATGATTTCCGGGAAAATTCGCTCTGGGCATCCCATCAAAGATACTGGATTTAATGTAAGTGGAGCGTATCTTGGGATTGTGGGCGAAAAGCCAAAAAGCCCAAACCTCTAATGGCCAATAGGTATGCTTACCGGGTCTTCCTTCTGCGGGTGTTCTCTGTGCAGAATTACTTCGCCGATCCCGATCGGCAGTGGTAAGCTCTTTGCTGGAGTTTCCTCGTTCGGAAATCATTCAAAACTTGACACTTTTCGCGGCACATCTGGACACCATCGTTATGCCCCATGACGGTAACTACCGTGTCGCACAGCAGGGTCACAAAGCAATCCGCCATGTCTTGGACCAAGTTCTCTCCGTTGATGGTATCTCCTCTGTCGTAGAAGACACTGGAACGAGTGACAAATTGATCGATGATTCCAGCTTGCTTGAAGGTGTGAATTTTGACGATCATGACTTATTTCTTGGTTGGCTTGATGGTAATATGCAACACACGTCCGACTCTTGGCTGGCATGGGTCAATTTTACCTAAATATGTCAAGCATGTTCAATTAGGTATCGATAAGAGACATTAACTACAATCCCATTTTAACAAATAATGGTTCATGGCATAACTAGTTAGCTGTACGATTTCGAACATTGTAGACACATGAGCTGCTGGGTGGTCCTGGGCCTTCCAGCGCTGGGGCCCGTGGCATGTTAAGTAAGCAAGTTCGGCCTCCAGGGTTTACCTAAGACGCAGCACGTGATATTATGCGCTTGAGGTCGCCCTGGTCTCCTGTATCTGCCACATAATCTCTCGGATAGAATCCCGAACTGTCTATGCTTCTTCGTTCCCAAACTTCCTTTTACCACTGCCATCATGGACCACTCAATGTCCGAGTCCCAACACAGAATAAAACGCCGGAAGATTGCTGTTGCCTGTGATGATTGTCGAGCAAGAAAAGTTCGCTGTGATGGGATACAACCGGGTATGTTCCTTGCGATGGGTGCGGACGGAATGCGACCCGTGCTGACTCAATGCAGTGTGTGGGCCATGCAGCAAGAGGACCGACCAGGGGCTCCAATGCGTCTATACAGGGGAGTTAGAGAAGAAGCGAGCAAGGCAAACGTAAGCGTTATTAATTCTATGGCTAAATCAACCTTTCATTGCTAATCTCCGTTCTGATAGTTATATATCCAAGCTAGAAACTCGGATCCAACAACTTGAAAGCCCACAATACTCAGAAAAGGGTCATGGATCAGAACAGACGCCGGTTGGTGTATCATACTGCTTTGGTTCCACTGTCTAATGGGTCTTATTATAGCAGACAACTCTGCTATCGCCGACACCTGGTAATATCCAGCCGGAAACGCCTGGAAACTATACACGGAGCATCCATAGTCAGGCTGACATATCCACTCCGTCAGGTCAGCGAGACGGGGTGAACGCTATGATGGGAGCTGTAGAGGAAGAACGCCCAAGCCAAGGTTTCTTTGGAAGCTCTAGCGCAGCAGGATTCATGCGTCAAATTAGAACCGCGGTCGACAGGAGAGTTGCATCACCTCACCGAAGATCCTCAATCCCCCATCTGGCTGTTCCTTCAAGCCTGATGCCAACGCGGAGCGAAAGAAATCAGTCTTCGGTCGCAAACTATGTGCTCCCCCCTCGAAAAATGGCCGATAGCCTCATGGAGGTTTACTGGGAATATGTCTTTCCGTTATACCCGTTTCTTATCCCCGCTGAGATGAAAGCTGAGTATATGAAAATCTGGACTGGTGATAGTCTGGAATATGACGAAAACATGATGATGTGCACGCTGAATGTTATATTCGCCTTGGCTAGTCAATTGGCCGACTTTGTCCCACCGAAAGAGCGAGAAGCGTCAGCAGATGTTTTTTTTCTCGCGGGCGAAAGGCCTGTTTCAATTTAACCTCTGGGATACTGGATCAGCAGGTTTAATTCAATGTTTACTTCTCATGGCCCAGTATCTGCAAAGTACCGATTCTGCACATCAGTGTTGGATTGTCACCGGACTCGCGATCCGTAACGCTCAAAGTTTGGGCCTCCATCTTCCCCAGAACATTGCCCGCCTTCGAAGCTTCCAAGAGCAACAACTGGCGCGCAAAATATGGCACGGTTGTATTCTAATGGATCGGTATGTTCAAAACTACGCCCTGACCAGCTAATCTCTTGCATGGTTCTTATTTCAATGTTCTCAAAGGGTGATATCTATGACGTTTGGTCGCCCTGCGATGATCTCAAAGGCTTCTAGTGGGGCGGTTCCTCTGCCAGTCGCTGTTGACGATGAATATATTCCATCCGGGTGTGGTAAAGAGGTCTCCCAGCCTCCTGATCGGCCTTCAATGATGGCATTCTACGCTAAGTCATTAGAACTTTATGAGATCATGAACGATGTGCTTCTTAGCTTTTACAAACCAATTTCCGACGATCATGCGGAAGATGTCCATAACTTCTATTTCGACAATGTTGCAAGTGAGGGAGAGCGGACTATCTTTGAGCTCGACCGCTCTCTCACTCGATGGACACGAAGCCTTCTCCCACACCTGCGTTGGGATTCCTCAACAGTATCCACAAATCCTATATTTTATCGGCAAAGCATTGTCTTGCGTGCGAGGTCCGTGATTTGTACTGATGTGTCCAACGCAGTCTGCAATAACTAACCAATGTGTTCGTACAGATTTCTACACGTGCGGATGCTGTTGTTTCGTCCAACTCTCTCTAAATACTGTGCTGTTCGTGATAATGCCACAGCATACCCATTAATCTCGACGAATGACTCCTTCCCCCATCGTGTCGCGCTACAGTGCTCTATCATATGTGTCAAAGCTGCCCAAGAGTCTATCCAACTAATCTACAATAATGTCCCTGCTGATGGGACCGGTGGGCCCCTGCCGGCTTGGTGGTATAACATTCTTTGTTCGTACATACTTTCCCCGGTGTGCTACTTCGAGATTCTGACTTATCCAGACGTTTATACTTCTGCAACTGTCTTAATCGCTGGCCGCTTATGCTCTGCGATCCTTGCCGAGATCAAAGAAACCTCCATCGCGCAGTCTTGGAATTATGCACTGGAAGTTCTTCGAAAATACCAAGGTTATAGCACATCCGCTCGTCGCTGTGTAGCGGCCCTTGAAATTCTTTATGAGCAAGTTGCCTCTGAAGGTCTGCTGCCAACCAACCACATGCCTAGTCATGAGATAGGGGCCAACTCAAGTGCAGTGGATGATATGTCCTTCGGCGAAGGAATGAATGCGGCTATCTTGGACAACTTTGAGTTTCCCGATTTCCAAGATATGTCATGGTTGAACAGTGTTCCGAGCAACCTTTTCTAGACACCTAAAGCTTTCGGTTTACAAGGCCTACAATGAATTAAGAGAACATTCGCGAAATAGACTCTATTTCGTCTATTGAGTCGAGACAATATGCCTCTTTTCCTTTTACAGTCCAGGGCAAAGAACAGTCAATTCTGACACATTTAATAAAATACAGGACCAACTGCTACTGGTGGTTCTCCTCACGAATCGAAAGAATTGGACTGCGATGATTGGAAATAAAGCACATCCACCGATAATCGCAACCTATCACACCCGTATAGCAACCCGAGGTTAGAGGTATACCATCGGACCCTGACCCAGAAGGCCTTCGGGATGTGACCCGAAACCCCCGATATCTCCCCAATACCCACATCTAGTCGACTCTTCCATCCCATTTTATATGGTGTATCAAGGACAAATATGGAATTTGGGAGATCTACCGGGTAGCAAAGGTGTCAGACTTGAACTGGATTCCATCGGACTTGGCCTTCCGATGGGTCGGGAGCTCAATCGGTGGTGTTCATGGCTGAGTGATGGATTAGTGTGAATAATATATTGAGTTCCAAGATTCCAGGATTGCTTGTTCTTGTTTATTCCAATGTTAACTAATTAGTAACGTGGTTATGTAGGCAGCTAATTAGACGTGTTGTGTGTTTGGTGCCTAAAATATCAGGCAACAAAATCGCCTTTCCACCTCTAGGCCTCTCCCATCCGTTTCCCCCTTTATCCCATTTATCCCATTTATTCCATTTTTCTCCCACTATTGTTGACCAAATACTTTCACAGGTGAGAATATGACCTTTTAGAACAAGCCCGGGTGAACAATGACCGAGCAATTTCTCCGTTCTCCGTCAACCCCCCTGCATCCCCAGACTTCCCCATATAACCTCCCCGGTGGGGTTGATGTGGAGAGAGTTTTCCCTCATTTTAAACCTGAGGCCGATTGGTATGGTCCATGGCGGATTTCCAATCCATTGGCGGATCTCGAAATCCGTGTGCAAAGAGAAATGGAACTGAAATGGAGCTCTTCTTTGCTTCCATAAGCAGTCGGTTTGTTCGGGGTATTGATTTCCCGACATGTTGGGATCATTTATAAAGACAAGGTAACTAGCAATTTATGACGACGACTGTGTCAAAAAAAGGACACCAATTCCCAACGCCCCACATGCGGGTTTCCTTTTTGACAGCCTTGACGGCGGGAGCTGCTGCTGTCACGGCGCTACATGTCGCAGAAAACCAGACCTACATCACCCTCGCCAATGATCGTCTCACAGCTGTTCTTCAGAAGAATGTTGGTCAGATCATCGATCTCACTCTCGATGGCCAAGATTTATTGGGCACTCAGTCAGGATCCACTGGAATAGGGCCCTATCTTGACTGTTACTGTATCCCTTCTGGCTTCTACACGGCTGGTGCCACATCCCCGAGCATGGAGGTAGTCCAGGGTACAGATTCAACGGGGACCAAATATGCAGGCATGATTTTGAGTGACACATACACTCCCACGGGCCAACAATTCCAACAGTACTGGTTCCTGCGCGATGGCGAGACTGGATTGCATATGTTCAGCCGATTGGCCTACCACAATGAGACCACACCTTACCTTCGTAACCTGCAGGAGTTCCGAACCCTGTTTCGTCCAAATATTGATATTTGGACGCATCTGACGTCTAGCGAGGTCCAGACCGCGCCCCTGCCAAGCAAGGACGCCATTTCGAAGCAGATTGTGGTCCAAGATGCAACGTGGACATTCAACAACACGCCAGGCGATGCGTACTACACTCAGTTCTCTGAGTACTTTACTAAATATACATTCTCAAACCGTATGCTCGGTCTCCTGTCATCTTCGATTACTGGTTGGTGCACTGGCTAAACGATGGTTTCCTTTTAGAATGGAGAAATAATACTGTTCACGGTCTCTATGCTGATGGCAGCACGTCAAATGGGACAGCATATGGAGCATGGCTGGTGATGAATACCAAGGTTGGTCATATTCCTTAAATCTTCACCGATCGAATCCCATCTAACAAATTTGTCCTAGGATACATACTATGGTGTAAGCGATATCGAGCACGGTGGGACGCAGGAGCTGACATCTCTTAGGGTCCACTCCACTCCGACTTGACAGTGGACGGTAATGTTTATAATTATATCGTATCAAACCATCATGGAGAAGGCACGCCCAACATCACAAATGGGTTTGATCGAACCTTCGGTCCGCAATTTTACCTTTTCAATGGCGGCAAGGGCACGGCATCTCTCCAGGAACTGAGATCTGAGGCAGAAGAAATCGCAAACCCCCACTGGAACGTTGCATTCTATGATTCAATTGCAAAGCATGTCGTTGGATATGCTCCCTCGAGCCAGCGAGGCAGTGTCAAGGGAACCGTGAAACTTCCTAAGGGTGCCGTTCGCCCAATTGCTATTCTGACTGTCGACGGCCAATACTTCCAAGATAATAGCGCCGTTCCAAGCTCCTATCAGTACTGGACCGATATCAATACAGATGGGAGCTTCAGCATTGATCGTGTTAAAGAAGGGAAATACCGACTCACAGTCTACGCAGAGGGGATTTTTGGTGACTTTGTGCGCGACGGAGTCATCATTCATGCAGGAAAGGAGACTGCGCTGCATGATATTTGGAACCAGGAGTCGGCAGGGACCGAGGTCTGGCGAATTGGGATTCCCGACAAGTCGTCAGGCGAGTTCCGACGTGGCAATGCGAGAGATTCAACCCATCCGCTTCATCCTCCCGAGTATCTTATCTATTGGGGGGCTTATGACTGGCGTGCCGATTTCCCTGATGGTATCAACTACACCGTCGGTACTAGTGACCCTGCGATTGATCTTAACTCGGCCCATTGGTCGGTCTTCGGGCCAACGGCAAATGATTCCCATGTCGAGTATGACACAACAAACGACTGGAACGTTCATTTCAAGCTCAACTCGAAGCAATTGGACAACCATAAAACAGCCACATTAACATTACAATTAGCGGCCGCAAAGACGGCAGCCGGCAACACGGATGTATGGAATCCGGTCGAGCCATACAACAATTTGTCACTAGAGAGTTATATCAACAATCAGGCAGATCCCTTGACTCTCATCGTTGGGTTCAATCAATCCAGCAGCTGTATTGCGCGGTCTGCTGTAAGCTGCTACCAGGTTAGTTCGAGAATGGAGTTCCCTGTGGATTGGTTACACGTCGGAGACAATGTGTTGCGATTGCATTTACCTTTCAACGCAACGGATACAGAGACTGCCATTCTCCCGGCCACTGTTTATGTACAATATGATGCTATCCGGCTAGAACTCAAGTAATATAGCTCTGTCATGAGGTGTTGTACTTCAAAATCTGCCGAATCAAACCTATATACATTACATTCTTTTTCCATTGGCCATGGTAGATGTGTTTCATTGGGACTCTTGCCTCAATCGATCAATAAATAAAGCAATCCGTGTTGCCTGAGAAACCTGCTCACAGTAAGTCTAATACCTCAGAAGGAACAATGGTCGAGTGAATCTTGTCGGCCCACAGAGATGAGGTGATAGAATCAGGTTCCCTCCTTTAGGAACAATTCAGAATGAAAACACTTTAGCCGTGCCAAGCGCCCAACACCAGGTCCCCTGGTGTTGGTGCGCCCCAGTAAACGCAAAATTCCCAGTAAACACAAAATCTAGAAAATAAGTATCTTTTATATGACTTACCAATACAAAAGGTACTTAGGTACCCCCGTTAGTATAACACACTTTTTCTCAGCCATCGAACCAGTTAGGGCAAATATAAGGAGATATAGATAGTATGAAGTAAGTCTATATTAGTTTCCTAAACTTCGATAAAGGATACTAAGTATACTAAAATAAAGAAATTATCTAGGCATCTAACCATTATACACTCTATGTAGTGCTATTTCTAAACAATTATTCTTCCTCCATATTAAATACTAATAATTAATACTACTATTAAATCAATTAAGCTAGACTCGTACTATATATCTGTATACTTTCTATTACTTTAGCTAGTTTGAGGGCTGAGAAAAAGCATATTATATAAATCTAGAAATTAAGTACCTTTTGTATCAGTAAGTCATACAAAAGATACTTAATTTATAGAATTTGTGTTTACTGGGAATTTTGCGTTTACTGGGGCGCCCCAACAACCGGGAACCGGTTGTTGGGCGCTGGGCACGGCTACACGAAGTATATTGATGCAGGGACCTTATATTCTCAATCGAAATAAATACATATGGTTAAAAGCCCCCAGAGACTGGTGACAAATGAAAGACAAATGAATGGTAAAATCCACTCTCGAGAACAGCGATCACGCAAATTTGAGAACGCTGGTCTAACAAGACCGGATAAGAGAGGCCCCTGAAGATGCAAGTATACATCTATGTACTCCGTACTTGTATCCGTCTTTGGCCTTTCCCGCAGAGACCGCCGTAATTGACAAGTTTGATGGTTCTCGTTGATATTTCCATGGCGGAAAAGGCTGCACTCGACGAAATGCAATTTACAGAAGGCTGCCGAAGCTGACACATGGAACGGCGAGACCGACGAGGTTTCCATTCTATTGAAATTAGTGACTCTGTTCCTCTTCCGTCGTCTTGGGGGAGCACATACAGCCTGGGAGTTGGAGTTCTGGCAGCAGGCAACGCTCTGCTGGCAGTTCTTCTTGAGGAAGTCGGTCAGGCCAGCAGCACCAAGGACTACAACATGGTCAGTCTCGTGCTTCAGTTCAGTGGAGTAGATATATCACTTACCAGAGACGGGGATGTCAAGCTGAGTGCAGCCCTGGCCAAGACCGAGACCCTCGCTACCAATGGCACCGAGGACGTTGGAGAGGACACCAATGTTGTTCTGGCTGATGCCCTGGCTCTTGTTGATCTTGTTGCAGCAAGACATCTCGGCACCATTACCACACTGGTTCACTGCATTCTCGACCTCGTTGTCGGAATGAGGAGCAACGCCGGCGGGAGAGCCCGAGCCAGGCAGGGCCATGGCGGTAGCAGCGAAAAGGAAGGCAGGGACGAAGAACTTCATTTTGATAGATATTATGAAGGCGAAAAGCGATTGAAGAAGGTTGGTGGATTGAGAGAAAGTGGAAGACTTCGAAGACGAGAGAGTTGAATGATGGATGTAGAACGATCACTAGAAAGATCATGCCTTTTATAACTTTTCTAATTCCCTTTCTGCTCTCTCTGTTTTTCCCTTCATGCTTCTGAGGCAAGAAATCCTGATTGTCTCCTAGCATCTAAGGTCCTAACACTGCATAGAAGTGGATGCCATCGTGAATTATTGCTTTCGGGCAGCGGAGTAGGGCTTGGCCAACATGGGTTATGGACTCTCCGGCGATCCATACTCAAATATAGGCGTGTATATGGAGTATGTAGTATGTACTCCGTATGTGTCCAAGTTTTCCCCTGCCGATCATCGGACCCTGTCGGTATGTTTCCCAGACGCCGACGGGAAGGGATGCGTATAGGTGCATATGAAGATCAAGGCAACCTACAACATAGAAGTCGGGTTCGCTAATTTTGGTCTTCGGCATTTGGAGTAGCGTTATTTGCTTTTTCTTGCTTTTGACCCTGCGTGTGACGTCTCGGTTCTTCCGGGGAGTGGATTGCTCAGTTGATGGATCTGATCCATCACTTCCCAACACACCGATCTTCTTCGTTTTGTTGAGTGAATTGTTTATTTCTGTGTTTGGATATTTGACCGGTCAATTCAGCATGGTTGTATCCGATTTAAGAATCGATAGTCGCATGCGTGGTGCAGGAATATCCTGCATCGGGGATGATGCACGCACCCCTTTCGGCCACCAACAACCACAACAGTTTCCCCGGATCTGTAGGTCGAATCACCATTTAGTGATCTCTCGAGTCTAGAGAAATCCATTGACGGAAACCTAAAGCCATCAAGCCCCCCGTCTGAAGTCGCCACATACAACTGTACGGGCAAAATATTCGATGTTGTATATGTGCATATCTAACAAAGAGGTCAATTTCTGACCTTGGAAATATCTACACATTCATCAGTATGTTGTATATGCATGGCGTCGTATATCCATCACAAAGCTCCACATGGCCCCTTGCCTACCACGTAAAAGACTCCTCTACAAATTTAATAGAGTGGTAGCCTTGTCGCATCGCAAGATGTGTGGCGGCGCGTGCTTCATCCGCCATTATTGATGGGCCACATACGAGGATCGCAAGACTTGTACCAGCTGAACATGCATCGCAGGCCCGGCTCATAATCAGGGATTGGAGGTGGGGTCGACCTGACTGAATATCGACGCCAAAATCAGTAGGATCCTCGGCGACTGCGGTGGAATCACGCGTAGCGTAGAAGGAGGCATTGAAGTCCGCTCGTTTGAGGGCATGTTTCAATTCCCTTCGAGAGACATCTTGAATGAATGCCGCCTGTTTGGTGGTCCAAACAAGCTCCATGTCTCTTACTCTTGTTTTCTCATCTTCAAGCCTTCCGTCCCAGTCTTCAACAGACCGGCGGAGGTGATCTTGAATATAGGGCACAGCCGACGCTATTCCCGTCCCACCGACGATGATCAAGACTGATTCATACCTCCACAGTGGAAATGTTTCTCCATAAGGGCCTTCAAGAAGAATGGTTGTTTCGCTTGTTCGGTCTGGTGAGCTCAGACATTGCTGACGCAACTGTTTGGTCCAACCGTCATACGGGCGCACCCAGAAAGTCAATTTCAACTTCAATTCTTCTTCACGCGGAGAGACACTTTCTGAGTTGCCTTGGTAATCTCGGTCGGAGGCACCGCCTGCAAGAAGTGGCACATGCGAAACATCGACCGAGTTGATCGGCTTTCCCTCGGATTTTGGTACCAATGACGTGCAGTCCCCTATTTCGTAAGACCAAGCTCCAATGGTAAATGGATGGCTCTCCCAGCCGGTAAGCCGGAATGGCTGGTATAAAAAGTAGTACTGTCCTGGTGAAGGTTGTAGCGAGGGTATCCCTGGTGTGACCTCCAACCGCACCACGTCGGCCGTTTCGTCGTAAACCATGCGGCTCACAGAGACCTTCAGAAGTCTTCTGTTTGAACTACTCACGTGAAGGTTGCAATAACACAACCGCACAATTCGAAGGAAGCGATCAATAACCCATATCGCTACCGAGGGCCACAGGTACTTCCAGTATTCGTTGCCTTCAAATACAACCGTGTGGCTGTGAAATGTTAGAAATATGTAGGAAAGTTTGGTCAGGGGTGAGTACTCACTAAAAGCACGCTACAAGAGTGAGAACTGAAAGCACGACATGAGCAATCAAGAAGAGCTCATATGTCGCAATGCGAATCCGATCCAATGAGGTGATCAACACCAGAATCATCACAAATGTGCCCTAATATGATGTGAGCATTAGAGATCAACTCAACTTGAGATCAGCCAGATTGGCAGCCTACCAAAATACCCCATAAAACATAGGTCTTGGATATCCCCCTCCAAGCTTTGCCCGCTGCGAGTTTCAAACTGTAAGTATTCTGGCCTGAATTAAAAAAGAAAAGTCAAATGGCCAGGACTTACTTTGGATGAATATGACAACGTAAAGGATAGAGTGCACTATTGCCTGTACCGTAGCCACCCGGGCCACATGACGATGGAATATATTGAACGATGCAAAGCTCCATCCAGTGGCCCACAGGAAAATATTATTTCGTCCCCCAAAGAGCCATAAAAGAGGCAAATTCGCAAATGACATGATCCCAGTTCGGTCTGCAGAATAACGTAGAATCTGGCTCGGGACATCAGGCCAGCTTGATTATCTGTCAGCATTTTCCACATCTCACTCTCACGGGCTAGGTACGTACTAAATATTTCCAGGGAAAGTGTGATACCCCACGACACTCAATACGATGCTGATCATCCAAAATCCCACAACTATAAGCGCCTCAACTCTGGTGGAGAATGTGAAGCCTAGCAGGTGTCGACCATGTGTCGTTGCTAAAGGCGCCGGAATCATCAAATGAGTCTGGATCCAGTGAAGACATGTCCCCACCCATGGGATATTTTCTAACAACCTTATGAGAGGATACACATTGGATTCGAGTGCACGTTCTGCACGGCGTTGTCGGCGGTGAAATAACCAATCACTCAGGCGATAGGCCATCCCCAGTGATAGTATGCCGCCCCAATATGCGTAGCCAACATAACTGAACAGTCAATATATGAATGATTTCCTTGCCAGCTTGAACAGACTTACCCAAATGCATGATGTGACCAAGTTTCAAATTCCCAAGATTGCTAGGACGTCGATAATTTAGCACTATTATATTTGAAATAGTTCCGGAGGGTCTCACGAGTGTATGGAACATTAGGTCAAAGTAAGTCGCAGAAAGAAGGACAGGCGCATCCGCCGGTTCGCCTCGGGACAACTCTTGATAATCAACCCTTTTCATATTCCTTATTGCATCCTCTGTTAGATTTTCAGCAACGGCTTCTCTCGGCAACAGCTCTAGGTTCCCAAATTCTTGGCACTCCTCAGCCAGCTGCGTCAGGCCGACCGCCCGTTCCCGCTCATTGCAATATATTTCGGATGCAGCGTATATCGATGCGACTTTGAGCGGATCCCGGCATTGCAATTCCCATCTTCCTTTGCCTGTTGTGGGAGCTCCAGCAAAGGATATGTAGTTGTATGCCGTGTAGACAGCTGTCACACACAGCTCATCCTCGGAGTTGGCCCAGACACCATGGGCGATTGCGAGTAACAACCAACGGAGCAACATGATGAGTCCCCAGATCTCAGGCTGGTCTGGGGGTGGAAGAGGAAATGCGGAGCACCGGCTGTAAACCGATAATCGCAATAATCAGATAGACCCATGTGGATCAGCGAAGTCTCTGAGCCGTTGGACCCTTGGATTTTGTCGGACCAAAATTCCCAAGGGGATCAGAAGGGATGATTTGAATTATGATATAAATATTTCCAATAGAACTAGAAAGAATGAAGTCACTTAAAAAAAAGAGAGAGAAACCGAGTGAATGTGTGGGGGAACTTCATAATCCCCCTCGAACTAACTTAGACGTCTTATCTGATCTGATTGATTAGACAACAGCCACGTGACACCATGATTGGCTTAGCCCATTTCTGTGAATTTCAAGTGAACAGCCGTATATTTACGGGGTAGTGTGTTGGTTTTTAACTATGTCTTGAAGTACTCCGTAGTTTAAATACATACTTGTGGAACGTGATTATTATCCCTTTTCTAATATATAAATTTATTTGTACATGCAGTGATGATAGTATATATGAGGGATACACCAGTCGAATGTTAACCACTAAAGCTTTCATAGCCAAACCGCCTAATAATTTGTTGGCGTACATCATGCCCCAAATTTCAAGAAGTTGACTACGAAAACATGTAAAGCCTTGACACCTTAGGCCGAAATTAATTGTCGAATGTCACTAGACCAAAAAGGTGCACACCTCAGTAAGGATAATTGGACGTAAACGACCACAATTGATTTGAATGGAACAGAAGAAGAGACTGGAATGAAATACGCCTGATAATAAGCTAACATAAACATTATTTTGAACAAATATAATGTACTTTGAAGCTACTCCGTACATATAACTAGCACATCTAACTACAACATATGTTGTTGTTGTACTATTATGCGGCAGAACAGCCGGGCGGTCGAGAATGATGTCACGCGGGGGTTTTTTTTTTCCGAGACTCAGAGAGCTACCTACTCCGTATCCGTAGCTGAAATCCAGCAGGTGTACAACGTACATCCGAGCAAATACAATTGGTCGCCTTAATGGGAGGAGGAAGCCAAATTCCAACAATGAATGGTCAAAAGGTGCCATCTGATCCAGGGCAGAATGTATACCTTCATGCGGTGGTCGATTTGGGCAGGTAGGCGAACAAAATCCACCCTTTTCGTTGCCCTTCCAAGGTGCCCTGGTGAGAATCGTTCACTGATTCGAAAATATGACAGTAATGGAATCCGTTGTTCGATCTCAGACCTCTCACCCCCAACCACCCGTATCATCCCTACTGTACACTTTCATCGGGTCAACGTCTCGCTCTACGAGGCTCAGATGGACCCCGACTCAGGCAACCGAATCCCCATTCCACAGCATGTCATCGACCGAATCGTCAGTGCTATAGTTCGTTTTCAGATTGTCTGCGTGGAGATTGGAGTTCCTGCTCAGAACATTCGGATCATCGCCACGGAAGCAACTCGAACTGCTATCAATGCTTCTGCGTTCATCGACGCCATTCACCACAAAACCGGGATTTCGGTGGAGGCATTACGAAAGGAGGAGGAGGGAATCGTCGGAGCATGGGGTATTGCCAGCAGCTTTTCAGACGTGGAGGGACTCGCCCTTGATTTGGGGGGCGGGAGCATGCAGATGACTTGGATCACGTCACATGCGGGCAATGTGCATATGAGTTCCCGGGGATCAGTCAGCTTTCCCTACGGAGCAGCTGCATTGACCCAGAAACTGGCAAACCTCAAACGGGGCAAAAATAAAGAGGAAGCGCACAAAGCTCAGGAGCAATTCCGCGAGGAGATGGCAGGCAACTTTCGCGCTGCTTTTGATACCATCAATGTTCCTGAACACCTCGTCCAAAGGGCCCGGGAGCAAGGGGGCTTTCCTCTCTACCTCTCCGGGGGAGGATTTCGGGGATGGGGCTATCTTCTGTTGTACCTGCACCAGACAAAAGGCCAAAGTTACCCGATTTCGATTATTAACGGGTATTCCGCACCTAAGAAAGACTTCGAGGACACCGAAGCTCTCAAAGAGGTGGCTCGGACGGCACACGAAATCTTCCGGGTCTCCGACCGGCGTCGCAAGCAAGTGCCCTCGGTGGCGTTCTTAGTCAATACCCTGGCTGAATCGTTACCACATGGAATCAAAGAGGCTCATTTCTGCCAAGGTGGAGTACGGGAAGGAGTGCTGTTCCGTGAGATGCTCCCAGTTATCCGCCAGCAGGATCCCTTGGAGGTTGCCACGGCTCGTTATGCACCCTCGTCGGCTGAGGCGCTGGCCGCTTTATTGTTGGCGGCCCTCCCTCGACCATCCGCCAGCCGATCGTTCCCGTCTTCCATCACTCTTCACCTTATCCAGGCTTTTGCCAATGCCCTCTATTATCACGCCACAATGTCCAAAGAACTCTCTTCTAGTGCCGCACTTTATAGCACTAGCACCGGGATCCTAGCCTCCACGCATGGTATTCCACATGCCCACCGTGCGCTTTTGGCACTGATGCTCCAGGAGCGTTACGGTGGAGAATTGCCACCAAGAGACATGGATTTGAAGACTCACCTTCAGGGAATTTTGACACCGGAGGAGGTTTGGTGGACCCGTTACCTCGGAAAAGTCGGTCTCGTCCTAAGCCAGCTGTACCCAACCGGGTCTATCGACACCTCCAAGCCTCGGATTATTCCCTCGGCACAATGGAAGGGTTTAGGGAAGAATGGCGAGAAAGAAGGCCTGGACTTGACAATTGCCATTCAGGAAGTTGCATATGACCCGTCTCACTTGAAAGAAGAGCTCGAAAATGACGTGCAGAAAATCCAAAAGGTCGGAAAGCGGAAGAATTGGATTGGTGGACGAAATGGCTGGGGCATCAAAGTGCGTGTCTCGGTCGTAGAAGAAGATTTATTGGCCCGGTGAGTGGAAAAACACAGACTATAGAGCTGGCCCATTATATTTTACATACTGATAGGATTTCGATTTGCATCCCTGTGACCATTGAACTATTCCAGTCCATACGGGTGGTTAACGAAGAGCCCTTGATGATAGCTTTAAAGACTAGACAGATTCCGGGCGCCGCGACTAATATCTTCCTATATAAACCCACCGGCCCGGAGAATAGCGTCTTACTGGGTTCTGAATGTTCTGAACCTAAGGATTTGAACTTGGTAGTCATACCTTATTATTCTGCGTGGTTTATAGCAAACCCTCGTCTCGATGATATGGCATGTTACATAGCACTGGGTGGCCGAGTTCGCGAGACGCTCAGATTCCACAATTACTCTTATCAGTCTGCTCTGCAGAGAAACAAGGATATCACATTCACAATTCTCTATTCAGCTGACAGTATCTAGGGATCGACCTATCTTTTACAGCTACGGATAGTGCTTGATCTAGAAAACTCCACAGCCAACCCATTCTATGTTGATAATCTACCTCGTATATATAGAACCACGGCACGTCCTACTAGTATGAATCCGGGTTTAGTACAAGGCTTTGGATAGTTTCGGGTACATCTATGAACATCTATTGACTAGATCCACGATCCTGCTGTGTCTCGGGAAAAGTCGGGAACAGTCTCACCTACGGCCTATATATGTGGAGTTGTGGGTTTCCCAACCCGGTCATGCCGATAGATAGGTTCTCTACAAAGCTTGTTTCCCAAAATTCCACGGCCAAGCTCAGAAAGACAACTTCCAAGGTTAGGCTGGGATATAATGTTTGATTGATCATCACTAATACCAACCTATAACCTTGGAACATAGGTACTAAATGAGCAAAAAGAAAAAAGCATGAAAAGACTAGAACTTCTAGGCAGACAGATAAAAGGAAGGATAGGATGGACCCTAACAGCCCTATAGGGCTGAGAACCATGGACATTCCCAGGTGTTTTCCCACGTATTTAGTCCGAGGTTGCATCCGGATTACACGTTCTTTCTATTTCTATTTCTGCATCTTATCTGATAATCCCCATTTATCTGATCCTTTTTATCTGATCTTTTCTTTTATTCCTTTTTCCCCTCCTTATGTCCCAACCTCATCATGGAGGCCAACGAGAATAAAGACATTAATGTCCTGGAGAAATCTATTCAAGAAAAGGATGTCCAGGATGGAAACCATACTGATTCTGGTAAGTCCGCTGGTGCCTTTCCCCCTGCCTGTTCGTTTTGGGGTTCTCACATCACTACAGATGCAGATTCACAGACTGAAATCTTGCGGGCTGCTGGCATAGGCATAGTCAAAGATGATCCTACTGAGCCCGTTCTCACTCTACGTATGTGGGTGTTGGGAATTGGCTTTTGCGTAATCGTCAGCGGGTTGAACACACTTTACACGCTCCGTACACCTTCTTTGACAATTTCAGGCTCGGTGGTACTCTTCCTGGCCTATCCTCTGGGAAGGATTTGGGAGAAAGTCATCCCGGAATGGACCGTTCCGCTAGGGCGATTGGCATTTGATCTCAATCCGGGCCCGTTTAACACAAAGGCAAGTTATCTGGCAAAGGTCACAGTGATCAGTCTAATAATGATTGATACAGGAGCACGTCTTGATCTATATAATGTCCAACCTCAGCATTTATGTTCGGCTCGGCGCCGATGTTCTGACAGAGCAGCAAATGTTCTACGGCTACAAGGCAGGATGGGGATTCCAAATTCTCATTACATTCTCCACATTCCTCATCGGGTTCTGTCTTGCTGGATTATTTCGGGCGATCGTAGTTGTTCCCCAAGAGCTGATCTGGCCTGGAGTTCTGGGTGTTACTGCGTTGACCTCAACTCTTCATCATGTCAACCAGGAACAAGTGCAAGCGCGGTAGGTCCCCTAGATCTGTTTACCTTAGGACAATGGAACTGATGGATGGTAGTTATAATACTTGGAAAATATCTCGATATGCCTTCTTCACTACAACATTCTGCGTCTCATTCTGCTGGTACTGGTTCCCAGACTTCATCTTCCCGGCACTTAGCTATTTCAGCTTTCCGTGTTGGTTCAAGCCTGAGAGCAAAGTAGTCAATCAGATCTTCGGAATGAGTTCCGGAATGGGACTGTTACCGATTACCTTTGATTGTGAGTGTCACGACTTTACAAGTTAACTACCAAGCTGACGGGGCCTATAGGGAGCCAAATATCTTACGTTGGGTCTCCCTTGCTCATCCCCTCGTGGGCAGTTCTCAACGTCTTCATTTCCCTGGTGTTCTGGATTTGGATTGTGGCTGTTGCTCTTTACTACACCAATGTGTGGAACACAGCCTACCTACCTTTTCAAAGCTCTCAAGGTACATTCCACCCGTTCAAGCTCTTGGGGGAACCACATCTGACCTGTGCAAACAGTATTCGACAATACTGGAAATATTTATAAAGTCAAAAGGATTGTCAATGCAGCTTCGGGCTACAAGCTCGATGTCAAGAGGTATCTTGCTTATTCACCGGTATTTTGCATGTTCTATAAAATCAAGGTTTCCACTCAGCTAACTTAAGGGGGAAAAAATAGGTCTATATGCCAGTTACCTACGCATTGAACATGTTTGGACTATCGTTTGCGACCCTGAGCGCTCTTCTTGTTTGGGTCGTCCTTGAAAAGCGTCATGTCATGGCTGATGCAGCCAGAAGGGTGCCTCGGCTGGTTCTAGAGTCCCTTCCCGGTCGGTCCAGGGCGTACAGCGAGGACGAGAGGGGAGACCCAGATGTGCCCTTGTGGTGGTATTTGGTTGCATACGTCTTAGCCTTGTTTATGTCAATGTTCGCCGTTGAGTGGTGGAACGTTGAACTGAGATGGTACGGTGTTTTGCTGGCATGTGCTGTGGCACTGGTGTTCTATCCTGCCGTGAGTCTACCTAATGTGCCGATTTACATATTTGAGGCATCCCTCTGACCCATCTTAGCTGGCTTTGGTTTATGCCACTTCTAATCTCAAGATTAATATCGACATTTTCTGTCGTATCACGGCTGGTTTTGTGTTTGAGGGCAAGGTCCTGGCCAATATCTGGTTCTTTGACATCGGGTACATCACGACCATCAAGGGTCTCTACTTTGCCCAGGACATGAAACTGGCTTACTATTGTCATGTGAGCCCTCTCCCTTCTTACTACAGTTGAACCATGCTGATACTCCGAAGATCCCTCAACGAAAATTGTTCTTGGTTCAATGCGTTGGAATGCTAGTCGGCACACTCTCCTCACTGGGTGTCCTCAACTGGGCCATGAATCACATCACCGGCATCTGCACTAGCACAGCTGTGAATGGTTTCAGTTGTCCTTACAGCAGAACCCACTTCAATACTTCGTTGATCTGGGGCGCAGTGGGCCCTCGTCGTTATTTCTCGAACCAAATTGGTTATTCAGCTTTGCTTTATTTCTTCATAGTTGGTGCCATTTTACCCATTCCCGTCTATTACCTGACCCGCCGATACCCCAAGTCGCTGTGGAGAAGGGTTCATGTTCCCCTATTCCTCGGGGGCTTGAACTACCTGCCCCCTGCAACCGGAATGAATTACGGCAGTTGGGCAGTTGTTGGGCTCACCTTTGGCTGGCTCGTTCGAAAGCGGCTGCATAGCTGGTGGAGTAAGTATAACTTTGTGTTAAGCTCTGCCATGGACTCATCGGTGGGAATTGCTGGTGCCTTGATTTTCTTGACAATTTTTTTCACCGGAGCCAGCAAACATTTCAAGTGGTGGGGAACAGATGTTCACAAGGTGTGCTTGGGCTCTCTTGCATTCACTCACTCATACTGACTATTAGCAGAACACATGCGATTGGAAAGGCTGTGCATATCTTTCTATGCCGAAGGGCGAAAAGTTCGTCACGTAGAATCACATTGTCTTCATGTGTCGTCTACCTAAGATGTATACATGTCTCCTAATCGGTGCTTCGATTCAGAGTATGCCAAAGATGAGCAGTTTGCATCCGGTTATCTGTTAATCTGATCGCGTGGGAAATCTTTGGTTTGTTAGCAGGTATTGATAAGATCAGTACACGCTTTAACAGCTGAACAGACAGCCCAACGGATGAATGAGGTTATAAAATAATATGTAAGTCCCTTCCACTTCCCTCAAGGCTGGAACATTCATTGTATCTTTCAAGTGGTATGGACCGTATGGTATTTGTGGTAATGTGGTATGTGTGGAATGTTTAGGTGGGTCCAATACGAAATTCGCCGATGTCGGGGATGATTGATTAGATCAGCCCGATTGATTAGATTTGCACATTCGCACAATAAATGGTTGATAGGATGTTATATTGTGATGTGAGTTGAATATTAACAAAGCTGAATATTGAATTATTATATTATGCACTCTATACTGAGTCTTCTAGGGCTGCAGTATCTGGTAGGGACGGTCCAGGCTATGTGACCCAACTGGGCACCGTCCCCTCATTGAAAAGCGAACACGAGTACTAGTACTCTTGGAATGACGGGACCTGCCAAGCATCAGTGCCTGAAATTATTCACGCCAACTCGGAAAAGTCTCCCGGCTGCCAAAGTATTACCTACTTTGTACATCGTAGACGATGGGCTCCACTCAAGACACCTTCCCAACTGATTGATAAACCGCTAACTATCATTAGATCCTGCCGGCAAATTATCAGATCCTGAGTGGGGTCCAGTGCCACGAGGAGTTTTTTCTTTTCTTTTCTTTTTTTTTTTCTTCAATGCTGGTTAGATTTCAACAACCAATCCTAGACTATACTACCGTAACGGGAAACTTACCGAACGATCCCCTGGGAGATGACCGAGAGGAATTTTGTATTTCGAAATAGACATATTACTAAAATAAAACAAAGATTCAAATCTCTCATATATGTCTGGGGATTCGCAATTTCCGGTATCAGTCCACCCCAAGAAACAACATTGGCATTATAAAATCGATTCTCACAAGTGTTAATTAGGCCAGAGTTTTGGGGTGTTTTTGAGCGATCGACATTCGCGTATTATGTGTGTCATATAAAAAGCATTTCCAAAATGTACTACTAGTAGTACCTTGCATATGTTCTGGCTGTAAAATGCAAGAACAACATGTTAACACTGAATACTGCATATGTTGTATGCAGGGACGTATACTCCGTACTCAGGCAGAGCTTGCGTATCGTATCCTGCCAAGGTTCCCAGGTTCCAAGGTTCGCTTGAAGTTTGAGTGGAGTCTTGTAAGCCGCCAAGATCTAGAACCAACCAAGCATAAAAGCCAAATTCGTGAAATTACCAATACGGAACTTCCCATGTGGAGCCCCGGGCTATCTGGAAATGAAAAAAAAAAAGAAAAAGGAATTAATTGCAATTTATTTTGTGCGAAATTTGTCGCGGCATTGTCGGCTACATCTATAAACCCGCTTTATCCAGAGACCTTTTTTTTTCTTTTCTTCCCTGGTTTTCGTTTCCTCTCAACTTTCATATACTTACCATGGCGGCCCCGAGAAGTGTACAGCGCTTGCAGCAGACACTGTCGCATGTGCAGCCTCCTGTTAGTCCGCAGTTGTCTCTTGTCGCAGGCCCGACGGAGCCACAGTTGCTGGATATTACCTTGGGTGAGCTGTTGACACTTCAAGCACTACAATATGGGAGAATTGAGTGCTTGGTCTTCCCCTGGACCGGTGCGCGATGGACATACGGTCAGCTGAAAGATGAGACCGATCGTCTAGCTCGAGGAATGTTGGCCTCGGGTATTCGAAAGGGCGATCGCGTTGGAATTATGGCGGGCAATTGTGAGCAATACATCTCGGTGTTCTTTGCGGCCGCACGAGTTGGGGCTATTTTAGTTGTTTTGAACAACACATACACCCCCCTCCGAGCTGTATTACGCTCTCAATCACAGTGGTGGGTGATATCCACTTTCCGTATCATTGAGACCATGTTAACCTCGGCCTTTTGTTCTATTTTTATTCAGAATGCCGAATGCTTTTCATGACACCACGCATTGGACGTCATAACCTCGAGGAAGTCCTGAACCAACTCGGCCCTTACCCTAAAAACGCTGCGACCTCGGAATCATTGGAAGAAATCGTCATTCTCCGCGAAAGCCACAACAACTTCACCACCTACCACGATGTCATGGAACGCGGCCTGTCGCAGGCTGCGCATGTGCTTCAAGACCGCGAGGCCGAATTACGACCGGATGATGTCTGCAATCTGCAATTCACAAGCGGTTCAACAGGCAGTCCTAAAGCTGCAATGTTGACACATCAGTATGTGGACCATGTACGACAATTTGTTTTTTTAAAAAAATATAGCTAATCCTCCCGCAGCAACTTGGTTAATAACTCGCGTTTCATCGGTGATCGCATGAACCTCACGTCTTTTGACGTTTTGTGCTGCCCACCGCCGTTGTTCCACTGCTTCGGGCTGGTCCTGGGTATGCTCGCGGTGGTCACCCATGGCTCCAAGATTGTCTTCCCCAGCGAAACATTCGACCCCAAGGCGGTTTTACATGCCATCTCCGACGAGAAGTGCACTGCTCTACACGGCGTTCCAACCATGTTTGAGGCAATCCTTGCCGTTCCCAAACCCTCCAACTTTGATACCTCAAACCTCCGCACAGGCATCATTGCTGGGGCCCCAGTCCCACGGCCACTCATGAAACGGCTCTTTGCGGAATTGAATATGACCGAATACACTAGTAGCTATGGTACTGTCCCTCTCACTGGCTTGCTGATCAAGTGCTAACCCAAGTTTTAGGTCTCACGGAGGCCTCCCCCACTTGCTTCAATGCTTTCACCACCGACAGTATCCATACAAGATTGACCACCGTCGGAAAGGTTTTGCCACACGCTCGCGCGAAGATCATCGATGCACAGGGAAATATTGTTCCCGTCGGTCAGCGTGGTGAGCTTTGCATGGCTGGCTACCAGCTCACCAAGGGATACTGGCATAACCCGGAAAAGACGGCAGAGACATTCATAACCGATGCCGAGGGTGTCAAATGGCTCAAGACTGGCGACGAGGCTTCCTTTAACGCCGAAGGGTACTGCACTATCACTGGTCGCTTCAAAGACATCATCATTCGCGGTAAGCTTGAACCCACGACATGAACATTGACGGCGATTTCTAATCCTGGCACCTGATAGGCGGCGAGAACATATATCCTCTCGAAATCGAAGAACGATTGACCGCGCATCCCTCGATCGAGTTGGCATCTGTGATTGGTATTGCCGACCCCAAGTATGGCGAGGTTGTCGGAGTATTTATCGCGATCGCATCGGGCGCCAGTCGTCCGACCGACGATGAATTGCGCACATGGACACGTGAGACATTGGGTCGACACAAAGCCCCGCAGCATGTGTTTGTATTTGGAGAAGAGGGGGCTTCGAGCACGGTTCCTGTGACAGGGAGCGGCAAAGTTCGCAAAGTGGAGCTCCGGCAAATGGCGATGGCGGTTTTGGCCGAACGCCAGAAGGCATGAACAAAAAAAAACAAAAGAAGCAGAAGAAGCACAAATTGTATAGTCCTCGTGTTCAGCTAGTACATAAACTGAAATAATACCCCAGGCCCATTGACCAACTGCCAAATTGTGTACGAGAATAATTGCAATCCAAAAATCTTGATTTAATGTAGGTAATTAAATGAGGGGCGTATCTTATCAGATTCTATCGTGATTCGCTCAACTCAACGCTTGTAACGCCGAGTAACGATATGAAAAGTGGGCACTGTAGCGAAACGCGGCATTTTCTTTTTATTTTTTTTATTTTTGTTACTACGTCGGCATTAAAAGTCCGCCTGGGCACTTCCCAGAATCAGATTAGATGCTCATCTTGTCTGATCGATGATCATTACCATTTTGGGTTATGTGGCTGTATTGAACCACGGAATTAATCCTATCTTGTAACTTTACACGTATTACTGTCATCGGGTCCAACCGTGAACGAATTCCCGGTCCACACAACTTGAAAAAGTTCCATGCAATCCTGTCATTTCTCCAGGGCTCTCTTCTACATAGCACAAAGGGAGACTTGTGGAGGCACAAATGCCAAAAGACTTTTGCCGTGTGTACTCCACGTATCAGACACCATGTCGGTTCTGCCTTTGGGGCACGACTCGACAGCCTGGGCTTTGTATTGTCCCGGAAGACCCTCACCGGAGTCGATGTCAAGTCAATTACAACCGAGGGATGTTTCACTTTAGGCACCCAACGGATCTGATAATCCGAGCCAAGGACCATGGAAGGAGAAGCCAAGGAATCAACCATGGGTGCGTTATATCCGATGTCGGTTTCAATCTGATAAGATCCGGACCCGCATAATCCGATGATGCGACGATATGTTTTCTTTATTTTTGTTCGGCTACATATGTTGTAGCTCAGTTCCTTGGCTTTTTTTTTTCTCCTTTTCTTTTTCCCCTCATTCTCCTCTTCGCTTTCCTTTTGGTCTCTTTCTTCGGTTATTGCTCGTGTCACACCTCTCCTTCTCAACTCATCATGCCCTCCAACGACTTTGTCCGAACTATATCTCGCAGCTTCCGAGTACTTGTGATCGGTGGCTCTTATGGCGGTCTATCTGCTGCATTGGCCCTCATTGATTTGTCACAGGGTCGCCTCACCCGTTTCAACTACAATGCCGATGCTGAAGTTCCTACACATCGCATTCCGATACAGATAACTGTAGTTGATAAGCGAGATGGCTATTGTAAGCTCTCTAGAAGATCAACCATTCTTCCACCACAACACCTCCGCTCACATATATAGATCATCTGATCGGATCTCCCAAGGCCCTGGCCTCTGAAAAGTTCGCGTCCGAAGCATGGACTCGTTTCCAAGATATTCCCGGGCTCAAGTCTCCAGATCTCAGTTTTATCCAAGGAAGTGTCAGCTCGGTTGATTTCAACG